CAGCTCAGATGCTGGCAGACCTGGGAGGAGAGCAGAGTTCAGCTCCTGGGGAGGGCTTTGTGGAAGTCAGGAGCTGCTCCAGCAGCTACTGCTGGTCTGAGCTCCCTTGGAGGGAAAAGGAGGGCCCAGTGCTGGACCATCACTTTGGGGCTATTGCTAGAGACTCCCCGGGGGGAGCTGAGTTGGGCTCCAGCCTGCCTGAGGCTCTCTGCCACGCCCTTGGGTCCATTTGTGCTGGTAACCCCAGAAAGGGTGCATGCCCAGAGGCTAAGCTGGAGAGAGGGCTGAGTCTCCCACCACCACACTTGGGCTGCTGACCACCTAGATATTGAAAACCAAAGTTGGGGTGAGGCTAGGGCCCTGTCATGCCCCTCGGGGTGCCCTAGAGACCGACCCTGTAACACTCCCCTTTGTGGGTCATTAAAGTCAGGGTCTAGCATGTCTCAGGCCATGTGCAAACCCTGTTTGTTTCCTGGGAGTTGGAAACCCTCTCTGACACCATGGCAGCTATTCACTCCCACAAGCTGCAGCCACAGGTTTGATGAATGCAGGCGCTGATGAAGGCAAGTGATCCTTGCATGGGAAAGGCCAGTGCCCAAGAGGGGCTGAGCACCTGCAGCTCTCAGTTAAGTTAGCTATGTGTCGGGTTTGGCCCAGTGTGATTGGCTGCAGAGTGCTAAATGGCCCTTCAGTGGTAGATGAGAACGACTGTTCTGAGGGTCAGAGATCTGTTTTTGTTCCCAGACGCTGGGGCTGCGGAAGAGCAAACCTTCCTACGTAGAACTGCAAGATGTATTCGTCACAAGTGTACAGCAACACTGGGCTGGCAATGCCCCCCTGTTGCCACGGGTTCAAATCCCAGTAGGCCTGCCTCAGCCTTTCATCATTCTCTGATCGATAACCTGAGTTGCAGGGAGTTGACACCTGTGGGAATGAGCCCTTAAATCATGAGGGCTTGTGCCGAAATTAAGGCTTCTGTGAGCACTTTAAGAGTAAGTGGTTTCAGCCCTCAGCACCAAGCTATTGTACAGGGCCGGGTGCTGCCCTCCACCATGCTGCGTCTGGGGCTTGCAAAGCAACTTGGGATCCTTCTGCTTTCACGCCAGGCAAAGGGGAGTTAGTTCTATTACTTCGTTGAGAACGTGCCCTAGAGCTGAAGGCAGAGGGTTCTGCGGAGCGAGGTGGTAAAAACAACAAAGCCCTTTCTGTGGCATTGCTGGTACCAGTGGTGAAATACAGATCCTAATTTTCCTAGGTCAGACAACACCCCGCCTGAAACCGATTTCAGCCACGGTTACAAGCTACCCTGAAGGCTGCTCCTATATAATAAGAGATTCCAGGAAAAGCTCAAAGGCCTCTTTCGTGAGGGGATAAGCCAGAATGACTCCATTTCTTTTAGGTTTCAGAGGAACAGGTAGCTGCAAGACCCCTCTTCACCTCCAGAGGGTGCCCAGTCTGCATGCATTTCTCGCTCTCTCTCTGTCCAAGGAAATTTCCTAGAAATTCTTGGTTTATTTTTAACTGCGCCATGGAAGCCGAGGGGGAACTACCCACCCCCTCCCTATCCTGTTCTCCCCAGCATTTCTCATGCAGGAAGCAGAGACCAGCGAAGTGCCTGATGGGAGGTTACATCATGTATAAATATTCCATCTCTGGAGCTTTCAGCTAATGCCTTAGACAGATTTAGCCTGGGATTTTCCAGGTTGCCTAAGGGAGTGAAGTGCCCAACTTCCAGTGACTTTCAGAGGGATGTGAGCCTCTGGCTCCTTTGCCTTATATCCCACGGGGCAGGGTCCTGCCTATGCCAAATAGTCTGCAAGTGGAAAATTGCCACACACCCACCGCGGCCCTTGTTGTGACTGTTCTCCGGATTTGAACACCTTAGGTTAGTGACGAGCAAACAGCAGAACAAGGGACTTAAACAGGCCTCGTTGCTACAGAGCCTTTCACCCACTAATGCACATTAGCCAAGCCGCACAGTCCCATCAACCCCCCACCCCCTTTTTCCCCCTAACAGTGGATAGCAATGTGGGACACACACAAACTACACCCAAAATTCTCTAGTGGGGTCGGTAACTTTGGGTGTCACCATTTCTGGGTGCTCAATGGTAGAGATACAGGGTTGGATCTTTTTTGGAGATGCTGAGCACCCATAACCCCATCTGTCTTCAGTATTAAGCACCTCAGAACAGGGACCGAGTCTTCCTATGTCACTCCAGCACAACGCAACCCTGGTCATGAGTGGAGACCCTGGGTGCTCTGTGATACAAATAATGGCAATCACGTGTGTGAAATCCCTGCTGTATCTCAGCAGCGTGGCTTTGATCTTTCAGCGTTATGGGTGGAGAACTTGCCTGAGGACAACTGCATCATCCTCTCCTGGGCAGCTGCCTTCAAATCCAGGTCACCTCTGCGGTAACCAATGGATGGGGCAGAGATGGGCTATGAAATTGTGACTTACAAAAAATGAATAGGGATGGTAGATAGAGCCTGGGGTTGGGAGTCAGCTTTATAGCTTTAGGCAGGAAAGTGGTCTAGTGGTTAGAGCCTGGGCTTCGGAGGCAGGACTCTGGGGCTCTCTTCCTGGTTGTGCCAGTGACTTGCCAACTAACTGTAGGCAAGTTGCTTTTACTTCTCTGTGCCTCAGTTTCCTCCACTCTGGCAAATGGTACTTAGCCCTCAGTCTCACTAAGATGTTGTGTTTAGTTAAACAAACGTGTGTAATGTGCTGTGAGATCCTCCGATGTAAGGGGCTAGAGAAGGCCAAAGCATCTCAGTAAAGGCTATAGGAACTCTGGCAGGGCTGCTGAGGAAGGCAAACTGCAGGAAGAAGTAAAGCAAAGGGCTTACCATTGGTGCAGAACTTGTGTTCAGCTCCAGGCACGGCTAACCTCACCATGCAAATCTGCACATGCTTTCCCTGGGCTCGAAGCTGATTCCCCCCCCCACCCCTTTTGCCGGATTTTGTGCCGTATTAACTCTTCATTCACTGGGATGAAACAAACGAGGTGGGGAGAGAGGGAGGAGGTGAGTGCAGAGTCTCTGCTTTAGAAAATGAACTAAAGACTGCTTTTAGATGCCCTCAAAATAGGCCTTAGTCCAGGGGTACACAGCTGCAACAGGAGGCTCTGGCTGGCTCTTGGCTCTAACGAGCACAAGGAAACTAGGTTACACTGAGCTGTCTATCCATCCATCCAGGTTCTTATTCTGGGATGAAGTTCAACCTTACTCTGGGCCCAGGCATGGCATCACGGGAACTTTGGGATTGCCTAGATCCCAAGCACAAGCTGTGGCTGCCTTAGGATTTGCTGGACAAGTCTAGCAGCAAACCCAATGCTGGGAATAGCTAGGTATGAGTGTGTGGGGTGGGCGGGTAAGGAGTGAGATCATCTTTGCTGTAGCCCATTGGCTGGGGAGCTGGGGCAGGGATGATGAGGTAAATCCCATGGGAGGTTTTCCCAGAAAATGTCCTGCAAAGATACCCCTGCAGCCTGGTCCCTGCCGAGGCTGCACGTACGTATTTCTACCTTGCTCATCAGTGTGATGTTAGCTGGGAAAGTGCTCACAACTGGGCCTGGCCCTGAGAGGAGAGACAGCTGTTGTATCAAACAGGGCTGAGCTTGCGGGACAGGAATGCCCGATGTGTCCCCTCTGTCTTTCATGACACTGTAAGTATAGGAAAGGTGAGGTTCCCTGTGCCATGCGGCGTGTGGCTGGGAGCCCCCTGCCATGCAGCCCCAGTAAAGGGATAACACTAGGGGTGACTGTTCATGCCTGATATTCCCCATGGAGCTGGAGCTGCAGGGCTCAGAGTGGGGGCAAGGGTGGGGTTAGAGATGATTGAGCACCTCTCTTATAGGGCATCCCAACTTCTTTCTCCCTCTGGAAGGGGGCTGGATGGGCCATGCCCTCAACTTGCCTTGGGGACAAATTGGGCCCGTTTCTATTCACGCCACTGCCCTCCACTTCAGTAGGCTCGGCCGTTGGATGACGAAGTAAAGAGAGAGAGAGCCCATGATGGGAGGGATGGGAGCTTCCCCAAGCCCTGGGTGCGCATCCTGCTGACTGGGGCAGGGCATGCTCTGTAGGTCAGTTTCACAAGTAGGGCAGGGGATCAAAACGTTTCTAAAGCTAAATGTCCCATATGATCAATAGGGTGACCAAGGAGCAAGTGTGGAAAATTGGAACGTGTGTGTGTGTGTGTGTGTGGGGGGGGGTATAATTGCCTGTATAAGATAAAGACCCCTAATATCAGGATTACCCTAGTGATCAAGCATCTTCCCAGGACAGGACTTTGCTAGGACAATGGGTCTAGGGGGGTGGCATTATTAATGTCTGATCTCCGAGCAGGATCTGCCCCTTGTCCCAAAATCCTGCTCATGTAACCCCCCCCTTCTCCCCATGCCTCTGTGGGGTTTGAACCCCTTGGCCTTTAGCATTGAACCCAGGCTGGAACTCCATGAGTTGGCAGCAGCAGGAGGCTGTTATCCACCAGCGGACCAGCCTCTAAAGGGGCAGGAGACCGGTACCCTCAGGTTTTCCTTCCTCTTCTCCCAAGTCCCAGTGTCTTGCGGCAGCTTCCTTGCAACGCAGCAGCAGGGCTGGACGTGCCCCCCCCCCCCCCAGCTCCTGCAGCGCCCGCCCTCTCCGGGTTGCCAGGGGGCCCCCTCCCGGCTCTGCCCAGCGGGTGGGTCCCTGGTGCTGCCTTGGGGGAGGCCGGGGGGTCTCCAGCCCCGTTCATTGCTCCGGGCAGGGAGCTGCAGCGATCTGGAGGCCCGTGGGCGGATCCTGGTCGCTCCCCCAGGGGCCATACACGTGTCTTGTGGTGTGTGTCCCCCCCCCGCTCCCCTTAGACGCTGCTTGGACCCCCTCTCCCCACCCGGGCGCCCCCCAGCTCCAGCGGGCAGGGATATGGCCGCACGAAACTCCTCCCCCAGCTCCCCGGGGAGGAGCCCCCCTCCGCGGCCAGGCGCTGTCCGGAGCTGGCGGGGCGGGGCCTGGAGCCCCGCCCCCAGGGAAGAGGCTGCAGCGACCCCGATACCTGCCCGGGGCTTGGGGCAGGGGGGCGCCAGCCAGCGGCCCCTGGTGCATTGAGCACGGGGGAGGGAGGGTTGCCAGCAGATTCCTTCCCCCAGCTGAGCAAGCAGGGAAGGGACCCCCCCCCCCGCGTGTCTCCCCCCCCAGCAGCCGGTGACCCCCCCGGGATGGTCACACCTGGACGCGCTCACTCCTCCCCGGCCCGGCGACCGGGAGACAGGTACCCACCGCTCCGGCCGGCGAGCGCCCCCCCCCCGTGTCCGTGCCCCTGCCAGCCCCCCGGGCGCGGGCAGGCGATGCCAGGTGTGTGCTGCGCCGGGCGGCACCTGGGCGGGTTGGGGGTTGGATAAAGGACACGGAGGGGTCTTGCAGGGGGATTCCCCCCCCCCGCAGGGTGGATCGTGCCTCCCCTTGGGATGACTTTTGCACGGGGCGGGGGGGATGCTGGGGGAGGGGGTTGTGTCTGGGATCAGCAAACAGAGCGCAGCAGCTGGGCATTGCGCCCCCAGCCCCCTTTTTTGCAACGCTTCTTCTTTTGTGAGCAGAGTCCCCCGTCGCCCCCCCCCCCCCCAAGCTCCAGGGATTTTAATGCCCGGTCCTTTCGTTCCCACACAAGGAGCAGTGAATTACTGATCACTTATTACCAAACTCTCCCCCCCCCCCGCGCCAGCCACTTAGCTGCCCCTTCCCCTAAAACAGCAGCACCGTGTGGGGTGGGGGGGGGGGGGTAGGAGCGTGTGCGGCTGGATTAGCGAGATCCGAGGGGTGGGTGTCAGCGGCAGAGATCCTTTCCAGGGCTGCTGGCCCTGCAAAGTCTCCAGCAGTTATTCCCGAGAAGCACAGCCCCCGGGGAGGGTGGGCAGTGGGTTCTGTGGGTGGCCAGAGGGGCTGGAACTAGGGGTGCTGCTGCACCCCCTGACTTGAAGTGGTTTCCATCATATGCAGGGTTGACAGTTTGGGTCAATGGCTCTGAGCCCCCCCCCCCCACAAATGGTTCCAGCACCCCCCGTGTGTGGGTGCTCGGCAACCAAGGGTGCCAGGGAGCCTCTGTAAGGGAGTCAATCCTCAGTACCAAGCTGTTTCTGCCGGGGCGCAGAGGGGTGCATGCCCCTCTCTTTGGCTCTGGGCATTTGAGGTGGCCCCAGCACAAACCTGGCTCAAAGCAGGAGCCTGTTGGACAGCAGAGAGGTGGAAGGGGGGAGGGAGGGGTTGGCTCCTTGGCATTCTGCTGAGTCCTGGCTCGCTGGCTGGTGTCAGTTCTCTTCCCCCCGCCCAGGAGGAGCCCAGAAGATGGGGTCTGGGTCTTGATTCCAGTGTGGGTCGGTTGCCTGCAACTTCTCCCCTCCCCTTGCGAGTCCTTTTCTCCAGTGTGACCAAAGAAACCCACCGAGGTGCAGTGTAGCCTGCCCTGAGAGCTGGTGTTAATAACCCTGTGCTGGGTCTCTAGTGCCGCTCACTGGCAGAGAGGAAAGTGGGACACAGCTGACTGCAGACTTCCCCAGCCTAGCTGCCAAGGGGGAGCCGCAGCCTCAGGGTTTGATTGACAGGCATCTTGCTCTCACCCTCTCCCATGCTCCTTGGCTGTTACTGTCGACTTTCAGCACCCTAGGCTTTGCCATGCCAGATCAGACCACTGGCGCATCAGGACTGGTAAGCCCATCTTTGATGTTTCCCATGAAGGCAAATAATGCACGTAACCACTTGTTCCAGGCGCTATTTTCATAAGTGGAGTTCCTGACCTCCCTCAGACAATCGGCTTATGCCCTGTGCCATGAGCGTCCATCACCTTTATCCTAGTGGGAATAGTCACACGTGTCTTCTCAGTGATCGTAAAACTGCCTATCAGAGAGACTTAGGTTTGGGGAGCCATGGTGAGATGGTAACAGGGAACCTGTGAACAGAAGGGGCAGCAGGCTTAGAGCTGGGGAGAGCTTTAAACCATAGGATAGGGTGATGGTTCGCAGGAAGAAATGACCACAAGCTCCTTAAAACAGACTATAGTAAGGGAGGGAGACAAATGTTTGGAGGAAATGTAGCAAACCTGTTCCCAATGGTTAAATCAAAAGAGCACCCTAGAGGAGTCTCCTTTCTAAAACCTCTTGTTCTTGGTCATGGGCCATTGCCCATTCTGTGCCCACATGGCTAGGCTGGCCCACGAGGCAGGGAGCGGAGTCACAGGGACATATTCAGACTTGGTGCCAGCCCCTGAGACTCCGCTGAAGTCAATCGTGCTTTCACCCGCTTGTGAACTGGGCCCCGCAGCCTCTTCTCCACTGGGAAGCGAGGTGGTGTCAGGACACGTGTTGAGTAACATGATTGTAAATGCTCAGTGTGAAGGAGGATGTGTTGTCCTGGTTCGCCGTGGTCCGCGGACTCTGTCAAGCAGGACAGTCCTTTGGCCTGTGCTGAGCTAAGCTGTGTGTGACCTCATGAGGGCTATCCCATGTTATTTCCAGTGTAGACCAAACGCCCGAATGCAGCGACTTCTCTGCCGTGGGGGTGATGGAAATGGGTGGATGTGATTTCAAATAAATAAACAAAAAAGCCTAGAAGACATTGCAGCTGCAGCCGTCTTCTACCTGCAGGGAGTTCATTTCCTGAAGACGGGCCAATGAAAGAGACCGTATCCACTTGAAAATGCAGGGAGAGGGGAGGGATTTGGCCGGGGACATGTCTCGGTAGCTCGCCGTTAATGTTTGATGATGATTGTCAAGTATGTTGCAATGTATGTCCTGGCGGTTTTTCAGCGCTCCTTTAGGATGCAGGCATGTCAGTGTCACGAAGCAGCAAGCTCTGTTGTGGTTTTATTGTCCTGGAGAGATCACTTTCCAGCTGGAGAGGGAGGAATCTGACTTTCCAAGGCATCCTTCTTCCTTCCTTCCTTCCTTCCTTCCTTCCTTCCTTCTATTCTTTCTTTCTTTTTCCCCAAGATGACTTCATTTTTTTACAGCCTTTGGAGATGATCCAGAGAAGGTGAGTTTTCAGTGTTTACATTCCAGTCCTCAAGCCCCAGCATCTGGAATGAGCTGCCATCCTCCAAGCAGATGTTGTTTTCCACTCCAGCCAGTAAAGACTTCAGAACAATACAGTGTTGCCTTGCATCCTGATTGCCTTATGTATTTGAAAACAGTGTGACTGAGACTCTGGGCCCCCCAAGGACTTCACAGATATCGCTATGCCTACAGTGACACAAGTTCATGGGAACAGCAGGGGCAGACCTCAGATCCTTGTGCTCAGACCCCTGCTATATGAGCTGCCGGAGACTCTCCACTGGCTGTTAACACTATAGAGGCTATGGCATGCAACTGAATAGTTAGAAGGCAGTGATGTACACTCTGCCAATTCTATTTAGCATTGTCTCATTTTATTTTTAAAGTGCTCTTGTGGCTGCACAAACAATCAAATTACAGTCAGGGACTGAAAGGCTGGTGTTTTAAGGAGTAGCTTAAGCCAAAAATGGACCCTGCATAAGAGAGACCAAAGACGTGGATGGGGATCAGGACTGGAGTGGTGCAGGACCCATGTCAGTTTGAAGGTCAGATATCATACTGGGTCTAGAAACCAGTGATGAACTCAAGGCATGGAGTTTAGATCTGGGCTGTCCCAAATTTGGGTGGTGTTTGTGTCGAGCCCATTAGAGAGAGGTGCTCAAGCCTCTGGATCCAGCACTCATTGGGGAGAGGGCTCTGGATCCAGCACTCAGTGTACTGATTATTTTTCCAGCTATGGTGGGTTTTACAGATAATAAGGAGTGAGGTAAATGACAAGCCAGGGAGGGTGAAATGTTTTACCAGCAGGGTCAGAGCCTTAGTGCAGTGGGGGGTTATTTTAGCAGAGCCTGGGGAGAATACACTTGATCGGCACCTGCACAATTGTGTTTTGTACAAAGCTCTGACAATTCCTCCTTGTCAATTACTGGCAACACTGTTCCACCCTTTACCCAGAGCCTGGAATTGTGGTGCTCTAAAGTGCCCACCAGAGAGGCAGCATGCTGTTAGATAAAAGCCTTCTAACCTTGTTATCTCTAATGTTCTACCGGGGGGGGGGGGAGCTGTGGGATAGAAACCTCATGGCCATGGTGTCCTTGAATCTTCTCTTCCTTCCAGCTTACTGACTATCTCTGTGAGACCTTGGACAAATCAGTGACCCTCCCTTTGCCTCAGTTTCCCCATCTGAAAGACTTCAGGGACGTTGTGTTGATTAAAGAGTGGATGTTAGTACAGCTTCTTGAAGATGGTGCGTGTGGGGGGGGGAGAAATGTTAGAGCTGTGCTACGTTTTTCCTCATGCAATCCATGTAGGTGTTAGCTCTCTGAAGAGACCCTTGCATTCAGATGGTGGAAATAATCCTGATCAGAATAGAGGCTGAAGTTTTCGGTCCTGGGTACCGAAAGCAAAGCTCTTTAAATCATCATTAAGCTCCTAAATAGAAACAATCACTGTTTGGATTAGTAGCACCTAAGGTGCTGTACAAACATAATAAGAGACCAGTTCCTGCTCCAGAGAGCTTGATGTCTGAATAGGCAAAGCAGTGTGGGAGAGAGGAAGAGTACTGGGCAGCAGAGGTGTCGAGCCCCTGCAGCTCCTGTTGACTTCAGTGGAATTTGGGGGTGCTCAGCAAATCAGGCCGAGTGGGGCTAGGTGAATTTAGGAGGCTAATTTTAGACACCCTAGGTTTGAAAACTTCAGTCAAATCTCATAAACCCACTGTGGCGAAGGGGGTCGGAATTGGCCCTTGATCTCAGCATGGGGAAGTGGGGGACTCTGCCTAAGTTGAGCCTCAGCTCTGCACCCCCCTGATCCTCCCCCCGCCCTCCAGGGTCAGATCTCTGCCACATTTGTCTCTTTTACCAACCATCAGTTCATTCCTCAGACAGCAAATCCCTCTCCATATAGACCAATATAAATCCACCCTCATTAGGATTCCAGAGCAGTCCTCTCCTGGCAGCCGTCTGCCCCTGAAATGCTCTTGCCTGGCCAAACGAGCTCGCTTGACCCCTACCTGTGCCTGGCTTAGAGGGCAGGGCCGGCTCTAGGTTCTTTGCCATCCCAAACTCCGAGAAAAGCCAAAAAAAGGGGGGGGGCCAGAATGCCGCCCCATGAATTGTGCTGCCCCGAGCACGTGCTTGCTTTGCTGGTGCCTAGGGCCGGTCCTGTTAGAGGGGAATTAATTCACTTGGCCTAGGGGGAGCTCTGGCAGGCAGAGGGGAAGCAAAGGCTTTAATCACTTTGGCCAGGGTGGCAGCCAGTGTCCCAGAGACTTGCTCTTGTTGGAGGGTTATCCAAGGTGAGAGCTGCTGTCGGAGGAGTTGAATGCAGCAGTTGGACAGAGGCTAGAGCCAAGGTGCAGAGGGAGGTGGATTTAAATAGCCAAACAGTGTGTTTGTTTTATGCTCCAGCACTGGGAGGATCGGCTGCACTGTGTGACCTATGCATGGTGGAGTCTCTGCAGCAGCTCGAGGTGGGGAGAGAGCCCGGGTAGGTATCTGCTGCAGCTGGCTCTGGTGCCGGACTGCACAAATCCACCAGCGTCATCTGTCTTGTTCACCTTCTCTTGTCTGCAGGCTCTTTCCCTGCACCTGTGTGCCCTTGCACCATATCCTTCCTCCTTGTCTGTGCTTCCCAATTTGCTCTGGGGGGGGGCTTTCATAGGCACAGCTGGGCGTTAGGCACCACATTCCCATTCGTTTCCCATGGGAGTTGGGTTCTGTCATGAGGGGAGGGGGATTGTCTGTTAAGGGAGGTGGGCTTAGCCCCTTGTGACTAATTATCTGCCTCCCTGGTGGTGGGTCGGGGGCTGGGGATCAGGTGAGACCTGCAGATCATCTGGAAAGGGGCCAGGTGGTAGGACCCGGTTCGTTGGTCTTCTAATTTACATGGGATTATTTTAGTTTGGAGAAATAAACTCGTCCCTGAAGGCAGGGACTGTCACCTCCACCAGGAGGGGGCTGTTGCAGGGGCACTTCCAGGGCTTAAATTCAGGGCCCTGAAAGGTCGTCAGGTTTGAAACACTAAGACCCATCAGTTCGCATGCCGGTGGGGCTGATGGAGCGCTTCGCATGAGCAGAGCAGATAAACTCAGGAGTTCGCTGTCTCTTTAAACCAAGCTCCTCTCCATTCTGCTTAGTGCTTGGCAGCATGGTGCCATCTCTCAGTGTCTGGTGTTTGCCAAAGTGGCCTTGGCTGGTATTTGAGATATTGTGGTCTAGTAGTTAGAGCAGGGACTGGGTGACAGGTCTCTTGAGTTCTAATCCTGGCTTCAACAGTGACTTGCAGCCTGACCTTGGGCAACTCACTTAATCTGTCCATAAAAGGATGAGGAGGTATCCCCTAATGACTAGATGAGATAGAACCAGGGGATTCTCTCTATTTCTAGGGTCCCCTCATCAGGGTTCGCTCCTCCCGGGCTCAAGGGAGCTCAAAACATGCTTAATGAAGCAAGGGTGTGAACCAGCATGGCCATTGCTTAACCCACTGCAGCCTTGAGCACCAAAAGTTAGAGTCAGCTATTGATTCATATTAATGGCACCAGCCTCCAGGCCCCCAGGGAAATCTGGTTTGTTACCTGATACCTCAGTGAGGGTGGCAGGATCTGGTCTATCCCTTCACCACCTTTCATTTAAACAGGGCAAATAGCATGGTGACGGAGGGCTTGGTGGCTTTCATCCTGCCCATCTCATTCTTAAGCTGGTCTTGTCTATCTGAAATGTTAGGAGACAGACATAAAAACCTGTCAGGATTCCATCAGCCTAGGATATGGTTTCCAGGGCTCTGTCCATTCCCGGATGTTTCTCCCACTTCCCCTGCAGCGATGGTTCCATGTTACAAACTCTTCCCAATATAACTCAGAAGCGGCTTCTGTATTTCCTCACACGCATAGAATTGGACAGAAATAAACTTTCATGGTTTTTTGGGTTGGGTTATATATATATTTTTTTTGGTTTACTTTTTTCTCCCCCTAAGTCCTGAAATGTAATTGAAACATATCAAAATCTCGCCCCACGATCTAGAGCTGGTGAAAAACCCTGGAGAAAAATTCACAGATTTAATCCACATTTAGAGTATTGAAATTTTGACCCCAAAAGCCCTTCGTTGAAAGTTGGATCATTTTGACCAGCTCTACCCCATTCTCTTATCAAGCTGCAGTAGTCACCGTGTCGGCTCTTGTCCCTTCCTATTGTCTTTTGCTCCTCATCGCCGTCATTGGATTTGCTACCTCCAGTGTAGCAGTCTTGTAAGGAACGCCCTGCAGCAGCTGGCGGTGTCAATAGTGATGGTCTCTGGTGATGCCAAGCTCCTGGGCAAGTGGTTTTGTACAGGTTGGGCCTCCTAGTGCTGGTTTCTCCTTTCTTTACTCTTCTGTGTTACCTTTTAGGTGTAGAGAAGCCATATGAGATGTCCCCAGTGATTCCAGCAGCATTCCTTTCCCCGAGCGACCTCCCCTTGATCGCACCTTGAGATGCCCTCCCTGAGCCCCCGTGGCCAACGGAACACTGGACCATGAAGTCCCCCAGTGCTGTGATCTGCAGGGAGAAGCCGGCTCTGAGCGTTTACCCTTATGGCTCTGAACGGGATGGCTGGGAAGAGGCCAGGGATGATGAGGACGTGAACTCAGCCCAGAGCAACTGCACCATAAGCCACCTGGAGCAAGCTGGTAAGGGAGGATGGATGTCCAAGAAGCTGAAACCTATTATCACAGACGCTAGACATGGGAAAAGCTATTAGATCCTCTAGCCTCACCCTTCTCCAGCCCAAGGCTGTTCCCTAGAGACTATTCTCCAGGGCTCTGTCCAGGCCAAGTCTTAGAAATAGACTTAGAAATAGCTTCCCTTGGTTCTGGCCATTTGCTTTCCAGCCAACCAGATCTCAGGGTCAGAAGACAAGCCAAAGCAGCTAATGATTTTTGGGTGTCCGTCTTGAGACTCCTTAAATGTGTCTGATTTCCAGAGGGCAAGTGCTCAGCACTTCTCTCGGGCTTCTAATGCAACCTCAGTCATGCTCTGAGAACTGCACACACACAACTTATCAGTAGCCGCAGCAGACAGATCACTAACTGGCTGGGTCATGGAGACCTGAATTCCCTTCTTACCCTTACAAGCTTTCCTCTGGGTCAGAAAACATGGGCTGGGCAGCATGGCCTCACCCTGGGTTGAACAGGGGCCATCAGCCTCCGGGGATGTCAATCTGGCAACTCATTACTCTCATTAAATCCCCACGCGTCAGTTTGCACCAGTGGGGATAGCCCTAGAGCTGCCTTTGCTGCTGGAGAAATCTGCACCAGGGGACAGGGAAATGGGCCTCTGTTATTTGAACTGTGGTAGACCCGGCCCTAGAGGTCAGGGCCCCAGTGCACTCGGAGCCCTGAAGAGCTCTCAGACTATAGACAACAGGTGGAGAAAGCAAACAGCTGGGGGGAACACGAGGAAGCAATGAGGTGATACTGGTCAGCACGAAAACATCGGTCACAGCACACCAGCTGCCTACCCATTGGCCTTATACCTCTGCCCCTTCTATTCCCTTGTCCCCCAGCTCCTCTGGAAACCTCTTGCATGGGACAGCCAGCATGCTCCTTCCACCTTGACTCTTCCCCTCTCTGTGACCCTCAGGGCCAGCTTTGTGGGGTGAAGCGCCAGGGCTGACCTGCGTGTGACGGTGCTTTCTCTCTTGGGCAGGTTGGTACTGGGGTCCCCTCACCGCAGCAGAGGCCAGGCGCATTCTCTGCCCTGCCCTGGAAGGCTCCTTCTTGGTGCGCAACAGTTCCAGCCCAGACAACCTGCTCACCCTGTCGGTCAAAACCTCTGTCGGGCCCACCCACATCCGGATCTGCTACAGTGCTGGCCGTTTCGGCTTGGACTCGTCCGTCCTGGCCAAGCCCAAGCTCCAGAGCTTCAAAGACGCCATGGCCTTGGTCCAGTTCTACTCCCTGGCCTCGCTGAAGCAAGCAGAGCGGCTGGGGCCATCGGAGCAGGAGATCACGTCCCTGTCCAAGGATCCGGCCATCCACCTGAAACTGATCAAGCCCCTGTATGTTTCTGTGCCGGCCTTGCAGCACCTGTGCAGGCTCACTATCAACAGGAGCACCCGGCAGGTCACGGCCCTGCCCTTGCCTGGGAGGCTCAAGGATTACCTGCTGAAGTACCCATACGTGCTCTGAGAGACCCCGCACCTCTCCATCCAACCCTGGCAAAACATGGTGCTCTCCCCGCAACCCACTCCGCTCTGGTGCCAGCACGGATGGACTCCGAAGGGCCCCTGGTGTTGCTTAGCTGGAGTGCGGCAGAACGTGGCTTCGGGGTCAGGTACAAGTGTGAGGGGCTGAGCGAAAGGCAGGGTCTCCGGAGCTGGGATCGAAGCAGGCCGGGGGCAGAAAGCGTGGTTTTTTTCAGTCTTTCTCTGGCTCTGGTGTCCCTAGCTAGGGCCGGTAATAAAAATTCATTGTACTATTGTTTGTTCTCCCATTGCTACATCTTTGCACTGACTTCTGCTTGCTTCACCGAACGTCCCTTGGACAGGGCTTCCATTATGGCTGTTGGGGGAGAGGGTGGGCTGGTTTGGGTAGGGTTTGATGGTATTTCTTTAATATAACCAAGTCCTGATGCACGTCTGGGGCTGAGATTTTTTTTTTTCCAGAGCGACTGATGTTTTTTTCGGGCCCAACTTGAGACACCGTAAAGGGGCCTGACAGAGGGTGGGTGCTCGGTGCTGCCTGGAAATCAGGCCCCTTTTAAGGTGTCTCCAGCCGTGGACCCAGAATCCCTGGTCACTACGGGAAAACCTTGACCTGGGTTTCCCCAGTGGGGGACTAGATCTCCAGGCATCTCTATGGTGGAAGCAGCCGGGGCTAAAACACACTGAAGCTCAGCTCTATGGTGCTCTTTACACCCCAGCAATTGCTCCACTGGGGGTTTTAAAGCTCACCTCAGACAGGATTGATTGGCTGGCTCCTCTGGAGACGTGTGAGGGAAACAGGCAGACTGCTTTCTCTGGCAGCATGTGGTTCTTAGTTGCATGAGGCCCAAGTAAAACCAGGCTCAACTGCTGCTCCCCTTCCCAGACCAGTTCCTCCTGCAGCACCTTCTTGGTCTGTCCACAGGGCACAGCCAGAGTTATCCTGATGCATCCGGGGAAAACCTTCCCCGCTCCCATGAGGCCTTAGCTGTTCCTACCACAAGGAGGATGGTGGGTGGCTTCTCCTACACATGGTGCAACGTCCTTGGGAGGTAGGCGGACTGGCTCACCCTGTTCCACAGACCCCGTCAGCCCCTTCTCCACAAGCCCTGCATTCGAACCCTGACAGTTCTGTAGCCCTGCTTAGAAACACAACTGAGCCGTGATTCCTATTCACGTGGGGGCGGCGGGGGGGATGTATTACTCATGCTGTGTGTGGAATCTACCACGTTCCCAAGGCAGGAGGAAATTCACCCCTGTGCAGAGGGCCACCACAAAGGCTACGTGCCCCTTAAGCCCTGGTTTCACTGTTCCCATGTACCCTGCACAGGGCTGAACTTCCTGGTCAGTAACCTCTCGACCCAGATGTGTGGGCAGAATGACTGCATTTGGGGTAACTGGCCGTGCGTTTTTGCAGCTGGGTAGTTCTATTAAAAAAAAATAATTTGGGAGCAGTAGCTTAGATGGTCCCTACCTCGAACCCTGCTGCCTTCCTCAACTGGGGCTAGGAACAAGTGTCTGTAAAACAACAAACATGCTCCTGTTTCCTCTTAAACAAACAACCGGTGCTACCGTGGATTCACAACCTTGTGGGGCTTGGGTGGGGAGTGTGTGTGTGTCCAAGCCTCGCACGCGTGGGGTGCCGCACGCGTGGGGTTTTATTAGCCTTTCCGCTTGCAAACCCCGAGCCTCTGCAGGAGGGTTAGAGCCTCTCACAAGCTTTTCTAGGAAAGCGTGATAACAGGCACATCTGCTTATCGTTCTGCCAGCGAGAGAAGGGGAGAGCAAATACGTTAGCCCAGCACAGTTCTTGGAAGCCGATGCCTTTCAGTTGAATCTGTGCAGGGAGGATGAGACGCACTTTGGAATTACCTGCCGTGGGTTTGCAGTTGCTGCATGTCAGGAGCAGCCTGGTGCCTGGTTTATTGTTGTTTCCTCTTTTGGAGCTCCAGATTCTGGATTTGCTTCCTGCGAAGCTGCTGAAAGACTTGAATGAGGGGCTGCCCATGGCCATCATGCTCTCCCTCTCTGAGGGAGGCAGGCTGGTTTATTCCTCATCTTATGTCGGCGCCCCAGTGGCGCTAAATCCTTCAGGGCAGGGGACGGTCATTTTGTTTTGTGGTTTGTACAGCACCGAGCACAATGGGGTTCTGCTCCATGCCTGGAAATTCTGGGTGCAAATATGGTATAAATAATAATGGCACTTAGGAGGAAACCCTGTCCTTCAAGCCTGTGCATTTAGTACCATGGGGAAAGGCAGAGGCTGGAGCCAAGAGAGCTGGGCTCCGTTCCCAGCTCTGCCACAGACTCCCTGTATGACCTTGGGCAAATCACTTAAAAACCCAGGTGCGCCCCTCTGGTTTCATGAGGGGACTGAGTTCCAGCCAGTCTCTTCTGGGAAGAGTAGAAGAATGGGGAGGGGAGGCTGAGTCCAGTGTCTTGCTCCCTAGGACCGCATAGAAGCCCCTCAGTCAGGGCTCCATATGTGACTGGTTCCCTGGGTGATGCAGGGAGAGAGCCAGGGGATGAACCTGGCATGGTTCCCTGGCTCACCCCAGGGGTTTCCATGTGGAAATCCAAGCGGGAGTGACTTGGCAGCTGGGGGAGTAAGGCTGGCACGGGGGTTTATTTGGTTTGCTGCCGGTTTGTCTGTTTTTAACTGTGGGATCTCCAAGCTGTGGAGGATTTCAAATAAAATGCAACCCCCTCACCCCCGGCCCCATCTTGGAGCCAGGAGTCCAGGCTGTCACGCTGCCCTGCGGCGTGGGATGAGGCCCACAGAGGGTAGAGCTCATACCTAAGGCCACGGGTTATGCAGGCACCACTCTCACAGCAATCGAGATTCACACACAGACTACAGCCCCCTAGGCACAACAGGAGGGGAAATTCTGCCCTGCTACCCCCATACAGCCCCACTGAAAGGGACTCTGAGTCAGGACGCCTGGGTCCGCTTCCTGGCTCCACCATAGACATTCTGCAAAGAGAGAGGAGCTCTTTGGGCCGCCTTGGCTCATGCAGGATTGCTGTGGGGGAGAGGGCTGCAGAAGGCGAGTGGGGAACCCGAAATCAGTGGCCCGTTCTGAAAGGGTTGGCCTGACCCTCCATGCCTCAGTTTCCCCATCTGTAAAATGGGAGCGATACTGGCCTCCCTGCCAGGGTGTGGGCAAGCCCAGCGTGCTAACGTTTGCTAGCTGCTCAGTGGCCGCATGTCATAGAAATCACCATAAGTAGCCTAGGCAGGCGGGCGTGGCCGAGGGCAGAATTTCTTACGGCGTCCGTTGAACGGAGACAGGTTCTCGTGCTGGGTTCGCTGATATCTGCAGCCCCCTCCGGCGCACTCCCTGGCTTCTCCCAGGGCCGTCCCGCACCTTGGGTCTTTCGGTTCTAGGCCGAGGCTCTAGTACAGCAAATTCCTACCCGCGCCCCCAAGCCCAACCACCCCCATTCTCCCACGGCAGCCATGGGCTTGCTGTAGCAGGGTTGCTGCCTGGCACCTATTCTCTTCGCAGGATGCCAGTGATTCTCCACCAGGCCAGCTCGGTTATTCCTCACCGGCGCTTGTCTGGTCTCCCCAGTGCCCACCTATTCCTTTGCAAAGACCCCCCCCACCCCGCTTTGAAATGCCTGTGTGCTCTTGGGAGGGCTGGGTTCTCTCCACCTCGCGCTCTCCTTCCTCGTCTTTCCCTTGAAAGCCCCCTGCACGGCTCCTAGCATGGCTGCTGGCTTTCCGAGAACAGGATGCTGAGAGGCTTGTCAGCTCCTGCGGCCCCACCTGCGCCTTTTGCTTTATGGCTCCATTTCTCGTTTGACCCAGTTAGCGGTGCCATCTGGTGCCTCCGCGCCCGCAAAGAGGATTATGCAGCAGCCGGCAGGAGGGATGGGAACTTGTGCAAAGAGGCTCGCCCTCCTCCCCTGGCTGAGCTGAGGTGGGGGTTGGGTGCTGCGGGGAGGATCCAGGCTTGGGCTCCCGTGCGAGACGGCGAAGATAATCGGTTGGCACGTTTGTGCATCTCCCCAGTGCAGCACAGAGGGCTACCCAAATTCTGCCAGGCCAGCTGTAAGGAAACAACCCGGTGCACTTTCCACCTGGCGTTCATTATCTAAGCTCGACCCCCACCCCGGGAGCTGGGGGAGTATCAGTTCCATTTTGTTTTACAGGGGGAAACTGAGGCATAGAGAGGTTGCAAAAAGAAAAGGAGGACTTGTGGCACCTTAGAGACTAACAAATTTATTTGAGCATAATATTTCGTGAGCTACAGCATCCGATGAAGTGAGGTGCCACTCTAAGGTGCCACAAGTCCTCCTTTTCTTTTTGCGAATACAGACTAACACGGCTGCTACTCTGAAACCTGTCATAGAGAGGTTGGTTCGTTTTCAATGTCCTGCCCCAGATCACGGAGTGAACCACTGAGCCAGGAAAACAAGCCAGTTCCACTTCCCAGGCCCACTAGATAACAATTCCTCCCTACAGATAGCTTTATTCACTACTTCAGTACAGCCACTCATGTGGAAGGCAGCGGCTGTTTGACAGAGCATAGCAACAGTGCAGAATAGGGCAGAAAGTGGAGAATGCCAGTGCCAGTGAAACTGCCAGGGGATTTTAAGAAGGCAGAAGAGATGTACTGTCAGGACGCTTCGGCTCTTGCAAACAGTGCGATTGCATTATGAATGCTCCCAGGAGAGCAGGAGCCTGGGTTTATGTCTCCTTTGAAAGGTGGCACCTGGTAACAGCGCGGCACTCTCTAATGACACACACTGGGACCCCGGAGACGGTCTATAGCTGCGTGAATCGGGGGGAAATATTCTCTGCTTGTTTCTGTTTGAATGCCAATGCACATTGGCATTTGTCTGCTGTTGTGATTTCTTTTCGTGTCCTTCAGTGCTTAAGCTTTACTCGCATGTGCGCAAGGAGATGACCCGTCTGGACCTGTGTTTAAGGCACTGCAGTCAGGAGACTCTTGATACTGATACTGCAATGGACTTTCTGGGTGACCTTGGGCAAGTCACTTTATCTCTCTGTGTCTAAAATAGGGGTGATACTTCCTTTCTCCCACCCTTTGCTTTGGGGGCAGAGAGTCTCTCTTAGTATGTGTCTGTAGCACAAGAGGGCCCTGATCTAAGCTCTATGGTGGTAACACACTGAATAAGATGCTCACAAAAGATGGATATAAAACTTGAATATTTGCCAAAGGCGCATTGTAGATTCACTGGTAAAATTTCCCGTTTATGTGGTGTTGGTCAGTTACATAAATCATCCACTCAAGGAAGGGAAACAAGGCCCCATGTCATTATGATCACTACCCAATGCAGTGCAAATTATGAATAGCTGCTGCATGGCATTTGTGAACAATAGGCAGGCCAAGTCTGATTCCCTGAAGAAATTTGCACATCATGGTGGTTAGCTAATGAATTTGAGAATCTCATGGCCAGGGCATTAAGCCAAAGTTTCTGATGAAACGATTCATTGTGAATTATTCGCTGTCAGATACTGATGGGGTGAATTGTGCAACCTATTGAATTGCCAACACCACCTGAGCTTTCCCTGAAGGGCATCTGACTGCAGCCTTGGTCCAGCCTTATGAAATTAAACAAGATTGGAGCCTGCGGTGGAACTAGCTGAGATCTCTCCAGCTAGTCTTGTCCATTTTCCTTTTGGTTCCCTGTGACCCTGCAGGAGCTGGGGGAAGGTTGCAGAGATGTGCGCGTGTTAAGGAAAGCAACAGTTTGCAAGAACCATGCAAACTTGGCAGCTGCTGGTAGAAGCAGCCAGTCTCTGCAACATACCCCGAAGACAGCTGGAGGGAGGGAGTGATGGCTGATGCAGGCTGCCATTTGTGTTGCAGGATCAGTTTCCAATAATGTTCAGAGCAGCTCAACAGTTCGTCCAGTCTGCTCTCCTGTCTCTAGCAGCAGCATCTCCCAGATATTTCAAAGGAAGGTGGTGGTGGTGGGGAAATAAACACAAGGCACCAGACCAGGGGTCCAATATACTGTATCCCAAAGGGAACCCTGACCCCAGCTGGAGAACAGCTCATGCCTTGAAGCATGAGAATGGAAAGTCTGGTCATCTTGGCTACGGTGCCTGCAGATGCCATCACTATTCTAGTGCTGTTCATTCACGCTAGCAGGAAGTGACTGAAAGGCACTAGCCGATCCGATTGGTAGCAGGGCAAAGGAGAATCAGGCTCCTTCTGCCTTATTTTCTTTGTATTCTCCTAAACCATTTGCTGCCCTCATACCCTGCAGCAGTGAGTTTCCCTGGCTAACAATGTGGCATCTGAAATAGCTATAAGTAAGCTTGGAAGGATTAGTTTTTATTGATCCATGTTGGTAAAGGCCGACGTCACTGTACATACACAAACTGACGAAACAATATTTCCATCCACTGTAATCACAATGTACAGCGAGGCAAAGTAAGAAAAAAGCTGCTTGGGAACTTATTAGGGATTGATTTGAGGATATTCACTTGGTATATGTTGACATGTGCTGTTGATAATTTATGCTTTAATGGTTATAAAGCTTTAACTTTGACTCGCAATGCCTACTGTCATTAAATACATAATGCCTTGCCCCCCACCCCCCGAATTTCATGCAACTGTGAACATGTAAATCAATAAGAAAATGCTTAAAAATAAATATCTATTGTATCTGTCGAAATGATAAGAAAATAAAAATAAAATTCTTCCAAGCCTAGGTATATGTTCCTCTTAGAATAGTTTCCTAGCTGTTGCTGTTTACATGTATAAAGATAATTCTCTTTTTACTCTTGAACCCTCCTTCTCCATAACAGAGTGTCAGCATTTTCCACTTCCCCATCTTAAGTTTGACACTGAATTTGGTCCATGCATGCACTGAAATTCAGTTATTGTCCCATCCACACAGTGCTTTAGGCACATCAGGTCTGACAAAGCATGGGATTAATCTGTGGAGCTCCATGGGAGTGGATTTACGCCAGCTGACGGTCTGGCCTGGCGAATGAGAGAGGATCAAAAGAGCTCAGAAGAACAGAGACCCCTGCTGGTCTGGACGGTTTTAAGCCACGGGGTGCATAGGCTGTGGAGCATGCAGACTTTTCAAGGAGCCTGAGCCTCAGGTTGAATTCCCCATAGGTTGCACGCAGCCCTGTGTGGATGTCTGAGCTCATAAGCCATGTCCGTGTGCCTGTGGTGGGTGCATGCTCCTCCTTTTGAATCTGCTTGAGAAGACACATGGCATTTCCATTCAGACCTGTTAGCGCTGTGTTTGCCTTCTTGACATGCATGTTAAGGTCAGAATAACCAACTGACACGGTCCTGTCTACACTGTAATCTCTGTCTAGAATCTATAACACAGTAGTCCTCCCACATGGATAAACTCAGTTTGCTCTGCAGAGTAGATAGGACTGAGACAGACTCTCAAACCATGCCACCACCTTGAACACCCCAAAGCGAGGGAGGTATCATCCCCATTTAACACATAGGGAAACTGAGGCACAGCGGTGATGTGTCACACAGGCAGTCACTGGCAGAGCTGGGGAGGTGGAACCCAGGTGCCCTGACTTTAACCCGCTTCTCCTGTGCATTAACCTTAAGACTATGCTTTCTCCCATTCTACAGTTGCTCTTCATGTCCTGCCTACGCTTGCCAGAGCTATTGCCTTGACTACAGATTCCCTGAGGCTGGCTCTCTGCCTCGTGAACACGTTGGTTTTGAAGCATCTGGCCAGGAGCCAATCAGCGCTATGTGAAGAGTGGAGACATCTCCCAGTGGGATAAGGCCGATAACATAATGGGGACATCGGAGGATCTGCCCTCTCCTTGGCATGCAGATCTCTCAGGCGCACAGGGACAGGGAATGTCCAGGGAACGTCAGACTGGCATGTCCTGGGATTCCAACCGGAAAGACTTGGCAAGCCCAGGCGTAGCGTAATGCGGTGTCTGCCAGAGGCAGGTGGCCTCCTCCCCACTGCCGTGGACTGTTCGAATGCTGCTTTAATCAAGGAGAGAATTCCCTCTCCCAAGGAAACTGCAACCCAGCCTGGTCTGAATGGCAGGGCCAGAATTCCAATTAGTGGGGAATCCAAAGAGAAGAGTCACAACATGGTGGCTGGGGAGGAGGGAGTTTCAAGTGAGGTCCCTACATCCCTATTGAGGCATCCAAATAAGTGGCCTGATTTCCAGAGATGACCAACACCCCACAACTCAGTGGCAGTCATGGGGCTCTGTGGGTGCTTAGTCCCTCTGGAAATCAGGTCTCTTATTTATATGCTGAGATAAGGATATAGGTGAATAATTTTAAGCACCCAAGTTTGAAGACTTCAGCCACCGTCTTTGATTCAACTCAGCCGTTCCTTGATTGCTAGTACAAGAAAGACACCCCTGTGGCTTTGCTGTCATGAGCTCTGTACTAGCCTGATTTGCAAAGGGGTGTAGAGCCCTCTACCTGCATTAACTTCAGCGAGAGTTATGGGCACTCAGCTTCTTGAAAAATGAGCCCCAAATTGGCCTTTGACACCTCTGCCCACAAGCTCTCAGGAGGAGGGGACAGCAGACTTAGCTCTGGGCCATTGAAAGCTCCAGGATCTGTGCTGTAAGCATCTCCCATGTTACAGGATCTGGTGATGACACGATAGTCACCTGATGTAGTTAAAGCAGGGTATAGAAGGGACTGAACAAGGTGATAACAGGGTCCACAATTTAGGGACCGTGGATGCTGCAAGGCCAAACCATGTGTTAATTGGGCTGGACACAACTGTGTTGCAGCTGGATCTGAGGATGCAGTACTAGTTTCTGTAGTGAGGAGGCTTAGAGATGGGCACAGAGCACTGAGGTGATATGTGCTATGGGGCTTGGAGATATGATATGGAACCTCATGGACTATTGGGCCGTCTGTGGCACTGGGCCTTGGAGACCATTTGTTAGGACACAGGATGGGGCCTCAGAGCCGGCTGGGGGTCCCCTACTGCCCTATGGCCTTTGCCAGTTGGCTGAGGATGGGGTGGAAGACCTGCAGTTGAGGGACATTTAAAGCTTCTCCATTATGTCTGCCCTGAAGTCTTTGTTAGATTCTACCCATCCTTCCCACAAATAGGAAAGTCCAGCTCCTCCCAGGAGATCCCTGTTTTTCTCCTCCTCGTGGCCATGGAGGTATGTCAGATAGCTCACCATGCGATAGCTGGAAGGCATCTCCCCTCATCCCTCCCATGGAGCAGTCTCAGGATGCTGACCCGAGCTGGGTGGCAGTGGGGCGCCACTGGACCCGCAGCAGCGTCTGAGCCGAAGCAAGGGTGCGGCAGCAAGACCCATCGACGTCAGTGCCGGTGCCTACGGCCCGCCCGTGGCCCTGGGACGGCTACCACGCCCCCGTGGCACTGAGTTCATCCGGAGGTGGGAGGGACCGTAGGCCCGGGCGAGGCGGCAGCAGCCCTGGCGAAAGGAGGGACCCTGCCCCAGAGAAGCCTGCAGGCTCCCTCGCTGCTGCCAGGGCCTGGTCCCCTGCTGTAGCCGCGTGCTGCCCCCTTCTCCCCACCGCAAGACCCCCCCTCCCACGGCTGGTGTGAACCTGACAGCCCCCCCAACCTGACAGCACCTCCCCGGGGGGGGCTGCCCCACTGCAACCCCTTCCCAGCCCGCCCAGGGCTGCTGGGGCAACAGCTCCTCCCGGGCCTTCTTCCCTTCCCTCCTCCTCCTCCTCCTCCTCCCTGCCCCTGATCGCCCCCCGTCGCCGGCCGGCTCACCCTGGCCGCGGAGGCGAGCAGCTGCTGCCCCCTGCCGCCTCCCCGCTGCACCAGCAGCCGCCCCCGCCTGGCCCGGCCCCGCCCCCTGCCCGGCCCCGCCCCGCCCCCTGCCCGGCCCCGGCCGAGGCCCCGCCCCGCCCCGCCGCGGCCGGCTGTCAGTCATGCGCCTCGGGGCCCTTCCGGATGGGTGGGGCGAGGAGCGGGTGCGCGGGGCCGGGCGGCAGGTAAGGGGCTGGCGCTGCCCGGAGCTCGTGGCATGCAAAGGTGGGGGCTGGAGGGTGGCAGCAAAGGGAGAGGGGGCAGGGCGGGGGGACGCAGCAGGGCAAAGGGAGGGGCTGGAGGGTGGCAGCGAAGGGAGAGGGGGGACGCAGCAGGGCAAAGGGGAGCTGGGGGGTGGCAGCAAAGGGAGAGGGGGCAGGGCGGGGGGGGGACGCAGCAGGGCAAAGGGGAGCTGGGGGGTGGCAGCAAAGGGAGAGGGGGTGGGGTAAAGGGGAGCTGGGGGGTGGCAGCAAAGGGAGAGGGGGTAGGGTGGGGCGCAGTGGGGTAAAGGGGGGCTGAGGGGGGCAGCAAAAGGAGAGGGGGCAGGGCGGGGGGACGTAGCAGGGCAAAGGGAGGGTCTGGGGTGGTAGTAAAGGGAGTGGGGGCAGGGCAGGGGGGATTCAGCAGGGCAAAGGGAGGGTCTGGGGGTGGCAGCGAAGGGAATGGGAGCAGCGCCGGGGGGGACGCAGCAGGGCAAAGGGGAGCTGGGGGTACTAGCAAAGGGAGAGGGGGCAGGGCAGGGGGGACACAGCAGGGCAAAGGGAGGGTCTGGGGGTGGCAGCAAAGGGAGAGGGGGCAGGGCAGGGGGGGATTCAGCAGGGCAAAGGGAGGGTCTGCGGGTGGCAGCGAAGGGAGTGGGAGCAGGGCGGGGGGGGACGCAGCAGGGCAAAGGGGAGCTGGGGGGTGCCAGCAAAGGGAGAGGGGGCAGGGCAGGGGGGACACAGCAGGGCAAAGGGAGGGTCTGGGGGTGGCAGCAAAGGGAGAGGGCGTGGAGTAAATGGGGGCTGGGGGGGCAGCAAAGGGAGAGGGGGCAAGGGGTGGGGTGTAGTGGGATAAAAACGAAGTGGAAGCTGGCAGGAGTGGTACTGGAAAGCGAAGGGTGGCCAGACTAGGGGAAGGCAGAAGTCTCTTTGGGGCCTGCAGCGGGACTGCAGGGGGGGTGGGTTAGGGGAAAGCGTAGCAAGCAAAGCACAGCACGCTGCAAGGATCGTCCACTAGCCCACAGAGTTTTCTGGTAGGGCTCGAGTTTGAGCCTGTGCTTTTTCTTCCTCTGGACCCAGCTGTAGGGCTTCGCAAAGCCTCCCTGAGCGGGTGATGAATGCAGCTCGGGAGTGACACCTTGCCAGCAGCAGCCATTGCACACACTGCCCAAGCGCTGTGGAGTTTTTGGTGGTGAGCAGGGCATGCGCTAACAACGGGGGACCTGGGAGGGGGTGCTATGTGTAAGGGGATGGAGAACACTGCGGGTAAAGGGGGACACTGCCACCAGGTTAAAAACGATAAAGCCCCCTAGCTCAGTACCAATAACCCTATAGATAACTAAGTTCTAAACATCTATTCATTTCTCAATATGCATGCAGGCCCTGATCCTGCAATGGACTCCATCCCAGCAGATCCCTGCTATAGGGGGGTCAAAAGGCCGATACCTGTTTCAGGATTTTAGAGCCTTATTCATTGCATTTCTTTTTTGCTTGGGCAATGCAGGCTGACTCCTATGAGTCTCGTGCGTACATAAGATAGATGTTACAATTCTATTTTTTTTTCTGTATTGCCTTTGAGTACAAGAAGACTCCAGGCCCATCTGCTACGGTGTCCGTTCCAGATGGGCTTTAAGGGCGAGTCTGAGTGCTGTCTTTTGTGCAGACTTTACATTCGTTCTTTCTTTGTTGGGCTTTTCCCCCCCAAATCTGAAATAAGCCTTCAAGGTTTGTAAGTCATCTGTGCTCTGTCTGGGGGATACAGCACCACAGAAATGTAGGGATGGAAAGGACCTCAAGAGGCCACCTGTTCCATCCCCCCCCCACGCTGGGGCAGGGGTAAGTAAATCATGGATACTAGGATTAATGATACCATGGCCTAGTACTGTGGGGTTTGGGCTGCTGGTGGAGAACGTTTGCATCCAAGCACGACAATATTTCTTAGGACCATTCTGCCTTCTTTCCCCCAAACCTGGCTCTCGACTGGCTGCCAGCATTCCTTCAAAGGAGGAGAGACCAGATCGTGGATTTGGAAGCTCTTTGGGGTACAGACGTTTTTTTGTTTTGTTTTGTTTTTTGTATAACACCTAACATAATGGGCTCATGGGCCATCATGAGGTGCGACGGTAATACAAACAATAAACAATGGTGAGGCCTGGGATGAGTCCTGCACAGGACTCTGTCAAGCTGCTCCCTGTGGCTCTTTGGGTAATTCCCTGTAGCAGATAAAGGCCCATTGTGCTCTTCTGAGATGCATCTTCATGGCTGTTTGGTGCGTAAGGGCTTCCAGAGTGTCTCCTGACTCCAGAATGCTCGGGGGTCTGCTCCCAAGCCAAGGTCTGGCCTTTGCTGTCGATTTCAATGTGTGTCTTTATCCATCTCAAGAGAGTTTTTGTCTGTGCTGCGTATTGCAAACTTGTGCTCTGAGATACTTGTCCACGGCAGAGATTCTTTCATGGATTAAGCTGCTGGGGGAGGTCTTTGCACCGGCATCACGGAGGAGAGATTTGAGACGGAGTTGAGCTGTTTTTCCCCCTCCTCCCCGCCTGCAAATGGCGCATTGTTAATTATTATTTGTATTACCGCTGCACCCAGGGCTCATTGTGCTAGGGGCTGTGAGCTGTCTCTGAAGCGATGTCCTCATCTGGGTGTTTCTGTGGGAGCAGTGATGCTGTGAAGATGTGTTGGCATTTCCTTGAGCCTAGTGCTGTTATTGGTGTCAGGCTAATGCCTAGTGTTCCAGCTGAGATCAGGGCCCTGGTGTGCTAGGAGTTGTATGTGCATGAAGTGAGGAATGGTGCTTACGATCGAAATAGGTGAGACAGACAAAGGGGAGGTGAAACAAAGCATTAACATCCCCGTCTTATAGGTGGGGAACTGAGGCACAAAGAGGGCGACTTGCCCAAGGTCATACAGGAATCAGTGGCATAACAGGGAACTGAACCCAGGTCCCAAAGGCCAGTGTCTAAACCACAGGCCCGTCCCCTCTCTCTAGTAGATGCAGTGGCACGACAGGGTGGTGGCGAGGGGTGTGGGCTTCAATCCCTGCCCAGGTTGCAGGCTGATATTACCTAGCACTGCGGAGGGCTGTTTCCTTCTCTGGCACCTTTCCTCTCAGTGCCTCATAAACGTTACCAAGGGTGAAGGGAGGCGTATCATCCCCGTTTTAACTGATGGGGAAACTGAGAGAGGTGACTGGCCCACATTTGCACCGGGGCCGACTCTGTCTTGGGCAAATCACTTCCCCCTATTTTTTGCCTCCGTTTTTCCCCATCTGTCAAAATGGGGGTGGAGTTACTGATGCAGAGGGCTTGGGGCTCTGTGGCTGGGCCGTGTTCTCTGAGCACATTGAAGCATTGGAAAGCAGATGCTCAGCGAGTGCAGGCTTGTTTTTAAATGTGCCGTTTCCCTATGCAGCATGGGTAGCTTTTTAAAGTATCCCTTTCCTGAGTGCATTACTCATGCTCATAGGTTTAAACGCTAAGGATCCGATCCCTTACCTGCTACTCCTTCCCTTGACCCTAATGGGCATTGGGTGGGGTCTGAAGCAACCCGCTAGGCTACATGCCAAAGGCTTGAATATGTTTCCTCTGCGGGAATCAGCCGTCATGGTCAGTCTGTGACTAACTCATGACTCGTGTTATACGCCATGGTACCAATTTGGCAGCTTCACATCCTCCACCCTTCCCCCCCCTCCCCCCGGCTGGAATTTGGCAGCTGAATGGGAGAAACTGATTTGCATCTTAAATCTACCCTCTTGTTTTGATTGTTTGTTTATGGCCGAGAGGGTCAGCCAAGAGGTTGTCTTCCTGATGAAGATCGGAGCCACCCCTCTGTCTCCTCTCGAGCAGCTGCATCCGATGCAATGAGTAACACGACCACTCCCACCTCCGCCGGGACCTCCAGCGACTCCTTGGTAGGGTATGTCCTGGTGCCCTTCTTCCTCATCACCGTCGTGGGCATCGTTGTGGTGGTGGTAAGAAACTTGTTTTTGTTTGGAAGAGTTCAGCCTGCCCCCATGGTGTATAGATGCGATCCTCTAGGTCGCTGGTTCAGATCCACGTCATTGACCAAAAGTTGTAACCGCCTTGGTGGCTGCTGGTCCCATTGTGGATCATGCTACAGAAACGATCCCCTCTCATTGGGAGCTCCGGCAGAGACCAAGGGCTGAATGGGCCCCGTAGAGACCACACTCCCCTCTTGCCCCTAGACGTGTTCTCTCCAGGTTGGGGCTGACCTATGCTGGTGTGTGATGAGCTTGAGTTGCTGCTGCCTGGGCCATCCCTGCTCTGTGGCTAGAGGATGTCAGTCCACCTGAGGGGTGGCTGTGTGAGGCCTTTCCCCAGCGCTGACATCCCCAAAGAGTTGGGGAGTGTGAGATCCGGGAGGGCGTGGTTCCCTGCTGGCCTGGCAGAATCTGCTCTGTCGGTACAGTGCCTGGTGGCTTCTTGTCTCTGACCTTTGGCTGATTGCTGGGAGGGCACTGGGCATTTAAATGCAGACATGGAAGTGCCTCGACTCTCTTTCTCAGTCGCTAGTGGCCTCCCCAAACACCTGACTACATCTTAGCTCCTTAGAGCTGGGCTGGCCCAGGCAGCTTGCTCAGTCGAAGAGCTCAAATCTAAAACCAAAACCCGAGAGATCCTCCTGCCCCAAACAGTTTTGTTCGAATCGAGGAGGGGAGACCTGGGGTGGGGTTGCATGTGAAGGGAGGATTCATTGTAAGTGGGCAATGATGGGCCAAAGACCATCCCCGGGGTGGTGTCTTGTAGACTATAAGTAGGGTGAGGGGATTGGAGGGCTTTTTTAAATTTTTTTTTTTAAAGGAAGTGTGTTCTAGCTTGACCACAAGGCATGGACTCAATGCAGGAATCATTGGGTGAGGTTCTCTGGCCTGGTCTGTGCAGGAGGTCAGAGCAGAAGGTTCTAATGGTCCTTCCTGGCCTATGGTAATGGGGTACAGAGCCTTTCGCCTCTGCCAGCGGGATGGGTACTGCTTGCAGGCCACCCAGCAGCTGTCTGTGAAATGGGCGGATTTATCTGCTTCCTGCTGAACATGTGTCCGGATCACAAATCAGATGCCAATGCTGGCAGCTTGCTAGCAGTGGAATGGACTAGAGAGACCGAGCTTCTTTGGAACCGGCTCTTCTCAAGTGGCCAACTCCTCGCTAACACCTAGCGCCAGCGTCTCCAAAGAGCTCAGCCGCCAGTGTGCGGAGCTGTCCTGAAAATCTGGCTTCAGGTGCCTGGAGACCTCCAGCTAGAGGTTGTGGCCCGCTGACAGGGGGTGATATGGGAGAAAGATAGTGCTGCCACCTTCCGAATGGAGGTCTCTAGGGCTGGCCAGGCCCTTTCATTAGGGCCAAACTCACCTTAAATGTGATAACGCCAACTGATGGGCTGTGTTCCTGTTCACTACATGCTTTTTTCCCCCCCACTGCAGATGATGTACATTCAGAAGAAGAGGAGGTAAGTGGCTAAGTCTGGGGGCTGCTGGTGTGTTAGGAGGGGACGTCTGGGTTTGCTTTGGCTGGAGAAGAGTGGTGGTCATATGGCATCTGCAGCATTGGCCTAGCTGGAGATAGTAGAGTATATCCAGACTCACTCGGGGGGAGCATTTGTGTGTCTGGGAGAGAACTCAATGGCTGTAGTCACTTGGTCCCTTTAGATTTAGGGTCTCCCCCCTAGATCAGGAATGGTGCTAAGGGAAGGGAGGGTGTGCAGTGAGAATTAACCTCTGTCCCCATGGTCTGTCCATGTCCACCTTCTGTGGCAATGAGCATCTTCCACCTGACTTGGATACTTGGCTCTGTGACACCACATCCTTTGTGTGCGGCTGTGACCTGTGGTGGCAATAGCTGTGGGCTCAAACGCTGCAGTCCTTGCACGGGCCAAACTCCCATTGACTTCAGCGTGCTAGGCGCTCCGCTGCCCCGAGGAGCTTAGACCCGAGTGTAAGAGGCGACAGCAGGTGGATTGAACAAAGAGATGGGGGAGGAGCGTGAGGTAACAGCAAGCTGGTAGCTTTGAATGAGGAACGAGTGCTGGCTTTGGCCCATGGGCTCTAGACCTGGGGTGAGATTTTCAAAGCCGTTTAAACATTCAAATTAAGGCAAGGAAGGTGTCTACATCCCCTAGGCGGCTCTGGAAATCTCAGCCCCCATGACTGTCCCGCCTCCTCTGCTGGACGTGTGACCCTATTGTCAGCGTCAGTCTTTGGTCCATGGCGGGGCTGCGGGTTCCCAGAGCAGCCTCGCAGTCCCCTGTCTCTGCCTGCGTCAGGTTTGACAGGTTACGTCATCACCTGTTACCGATGTACAGCTACGACCCCGCGGAGGACCTGCACGAGGCTGAACAGGAGCTGCTGGGGGATCCAGACGACACCAAGGTGAGCTTCTCGGGTCCAGAGCCCATGTGCGAGGGCGGCTATGGATGGGTGGCATGAGCGGGCATGATGCCACTTGGAGCCAGGTGTCGGTCACGTTTGCTTTTGGGGTAACGTGCTTGTGAGTCAGGAGGATTGCCGGAGAGGAACATAGGGAGGCACTTTGGCAGGAGCAGCCTGGATGCTCGGTAATGTTCCTCATCCTATATCACCTGCTGTAGATCTGTCCAGGAAAGCACTGTGCATTCAGCTGTCTTGTACAAGAGACATGGGGGATGGGGTCTGAGCACAGGACCAGGATCAGTGCTTGAGTGACTAGTTAAGCGGGCCAGTAACAACCTTTCGGTGCCACTGTTGGCCTGTAAACACAGGGTGACTCAAGCTTCTGTGTATTCTCCCAGTGAGCTTGCTCCTGGTGGTTAAGTCCTAAGGGCTGTTGTAAAATGCGAAGTTGAAAAGGTTCACTGTCAACTTGGCAAACCACATTTTTGGTCTGGAAATTTGTATCTAGTATTGTTAATGGTCACAGCGGAGATCACTATCACCAGAGTGTTAGCAGAAAAGTTGGGGGTTGTGGTCGAGAATCAGCTTGACAGGAGCTCCCGGTGTGACACTGTGGCCAAAAGGGTTCATACGTCTTGGGATGCAGAAACGGGGATTTTGAGTAGGAACAGAGAGCTTGTTTTACCTCTGCATTTGGCACTGGTGTGACTGCTGCTGGACTCCTGTGTCCAGCTCCGGTGCCCACAATTCAAGAAGGATGTTGATAAATTGGAGAGGCTTCAGATAGGAGCCATGAGAATGATCAATGGATCAGAAAACCTGCCTTATAGTCATAGATAGACTGAGCTTCTTGAGTCTATTTAGCTTAACAAAGAGAAGGTCAAGGAATGTCTGACTTGATCACAGTCTATAAGTGTCTACAGGAGGAACAAATATTTAACAATGAGCTCTTCACTCTAGCAGATAAAGGTTTAACATGATCCAAGGGCTGGAAATTGAAGCTAGACAAATTCAGACTGGAAATAAGGTGTTAAATTTTAACAGTGAGAGTAATTAACCATTGGAACAATTTCCCAAGGGTCGTGGGGATTCTCCAGCACTGATCATTTTTCAAAGAAGACAGAATGTTTTCCTACAAGATCTGCTTTAGGAATTATTCTGGGGAAGTTCTCTGGCCTGTGTTACACAGGAGGTGATAATCACAACGGCCTCTCTTTGCATTGGAACCTATGAATATGTGAAATGAATCGTCCTTTCTCTGGCAGCTCTTTCTGTGTAGTCAGTTCAAAGGATTTCCTCGGTATTGTCAGGACCCAACCTTGCAAACATTTTACCATGTAACTCATTGGGTCTATTCCCGGGTATAAAGTTACCTTTGTGTTTGCAGCATTGGTATTTCCTCTGCTGAAAAGAGCCCTAAACTCTAACAAGAGAGCAGAAAAACCTTGTCATTTGATTTTCAAAGGATTTTAACAAGATATTCTTTTTAAAGGGGCTCTGTCAGAAACAGGATTTTTTTTGCACTTGGTCCATTTAAAAAAGAGAAATTCACGTTGATTGTGTTCCTTTAAATATCACTGCTGTTACTCAACAGGAACCATTGAATAGAAATGGAGGTAAATTTTAAAAATCTGGCTTCAGAAAAAAATATGAGGAAATACCCACTTGCCTCTCAAAAATGTGGTTTTGAAAACTCCTTCATCTGCTGTAACTAGAGCTTTGAACCATAATACTTCATAATACTGTGTGCAGTTCTGGTCTCCCATGTTTAAGAAGGATGAATTCAAACTGGAACAGGCACAGAGAAGGGCTACTAGGATGATCCGAGGAATGGAAAACCTGTCTTATGAAAGGAGACTTGAAGAGCTTGGCTTCTTTAGCCTAACCAAAAGAAGGTTGAGGGGAGATATGATTGCTCTCTGTAAATATATCTGAGGGATAAATACCGGAGAGGGAGAGGAATTATTTAAGCTCCGTACCAATGTGGACACAAGAACAAAGGGATATAAACTGGTCATCGGGAAATTTAGACTTGAAATTAGACGAAGGTTTCTAACCATCAGAGGAGTGAAGTTTTGGAATAGCCTTCCAAGGGAAGCAGTGGGGGCAAAAGACCTATCTGGCTTTAAGATTAAACTTGATAAGTTTATGGAGGAGATGGTATGATGGGATGACATGATTTTGGCAACTAATTGATCTTTAAATATTCATGGTAAATAGGGCCAATGGCCAATGGGATGTTAGATGGGGTGGAATCTGAGTTACTACAGAGAATTCTTTCCTGGATATCTGGCTGGTGAATCTTGCCCCTATGCTCAGGGTTCAGCTGATTGCCATATTTGGGGTCGGGAAGGAATTTTCCTCCAGATTGGAAGAGGCCTGGAGGTTTTTCACCTTCCTCTGTAGCATGGGGCACGGGTCACTTGCTGGAGGATTCTCTGCTCCTTGAAGTTTTTAAACCATGATTTGAGGACTTCAATAGCTCAGACATAGGTGAGAGGTTTATCGCAGGAGAGGGTGAGTGAGATTCTGTGGCCTGCATTGTGCAGGAGGTCAGACTAGATGATCATAATGGTCCCTTCTTACCTTAATATCTATGAATCTATGAATTACCAGGATCAGTAAAAATCTGTACAAGATTTCCCCCTTTCTCAGATTGATCAGTCTGTCCTTTAAAATATGCCTGTAGTGACAGTGACCCCTGGGTGAAAGGAGGCTGCACAGTTGAGGGAATAAGTCATTGAATTGTGGGTCAGGAAAGCTGAGTTCTGTTCTCAGCTCTGTAATTGACCTGGCCGAGTGTCCTTCGCTTCTCTCTGACTGTTTCCCGATCTGTGAAATGGGGATAATATCAGGCTTTGTAATGTGCTTTGAGATCTATGGTTTAAAAGCCCTATATAAGAATTAAGCATTTATAGTAGTATTTTATTTATTATTTTATTATGCACTTGAAATATGTAGAACGTTCTGAATCTATAACTATTTAATGTAAAGCTCTCCAGAATAAAGTGGGCATATACTGTTAAAAATCACATCTTAAAATAAATGAATTAATAATACTGTAGATTACTAAAACTGTACAAAAGTCCAGATCTGACTTTCCACCATTTCTACTGCTTTGCATTTCATTCCACTTGGATGATGAAAACAGGTCAATTTCCCATTGTAGTTCTCACGTGCTAGCCCAAGGCTGCAGTGTTTGGGTTGCAAATACAGCAGGGGAATTTTTAACTTAATTATATTGAATTTAAAAAACAACAACCGGCTTTCACAAAACCTAAATGTGGGGCCTCAAGCTCTAATTTAAAGGGTATAATGGACGGGGAGTTGAGAAGAGGCCAGGCGCTGGAGATAAACAACATCGGCCGTGTGGAAATTAGGTCAGTGATTCAGGCTGAGTGTGGCGTGGCTGATTACTGGGGACGTGTTAGCGCTGAAATGATCACCAACAAAGCTGCATGATCTTGTTCAGGCCAGCTGTCCTAGGCATGAGCGTAATGCACTAGATCAAAACTAGAGGAAATTTAGATCAAAAGGGTTCAATCCTTGCCTGTTTCTACTAGGCCTTCTTAGTAAGGCCAGGTCTATACTAAAACATTGTCAAGCCAGCTATGTTGCTAAGGGGTGTGACAAATCCATGCGCTGGGTGATGTGCTTAAGCCGATCTATCTCCCGGTGTATGCAGCACTAGGTTGACGGAAGAATTCTACACTGGGGTTTAGGTCGCCTTACTATGCTCACACTTCTGAGTAATGTATCTAGATTGACCTAACTTCATAATGTAAACCAGTCCATAGCACCTTTCTGAGCTAGACTGCTGATTCAAATCCTGCCTGGATCAGCAGCAAGCTGTGCATTTACTCTCTGGTGGCACTACGGTGCCCCCTGGTGAAATGAAGTGGTTTAGACTCAGTTCCGTTCCAAGCGGGCTAGTGTACACGCTACACAAACTTGTGGTGCTAATTTGGGGCCCCTTTTGCAAGCAGACTCAGCAGAGGCCATGATTTGACTGGCTCAGAGACTGACTCCTTTGGCCAGGGGAAGGTGCTGGGGACATTTTTCCTGCGCTTGCCCATGTTCTGCCTGTTTGGTGCACAAACCGAAGGCTTGGGTCTGCAGGATTGTGTAGGTTTTACAGAGTGGTGAAAACTCATTTATGAAAATAACTGGTTTGGGCAGGCACTGTGGCTGTGATACTGGGCTTCAATTGAACTTTAAGGCATGTTTCATGAGAGAAACTGACCACTCCAGCTGATCTGGCTTCTCCAGCATCTCAAGAGCTGCCTCTTATTACATGCACTTGAGGAATGCTGTTTGCTGCTATGTCCTAGGCAGACAGCACCCAGAGTTTCTCCTCCTGCTGGAGACTGATGCATGGGATTTCCAGGTCATGACACACGTGGGGGGGGGAAGGAAAACCAGCCCCTCATGATACAGACTGTGTTTGTTTGTTTTCACCGCCTCAGTGGACCCTGGGAATTCCCGAGTTCTAATCCCGACGCCTTTCCCACCTCTGGCAAATCGCTTAATCTCTGTGCCTTGGTTTCCTTATCTGACCGAGAGGTTAACCCTGACCTTGCTTTTGTGCCCATGAAGGGGGGAATGCCTGACACTTGGAAGGCAAATAAGCATGTATTGTTTGTTGCAGGTGATGCGAGGCTGGGGTGGATACCAGCCCCATCGGACTTCGCTCATGGACATGAAAGCGTAACGCAGCTCGAAGAGGCGACGTACTAACCACCTCCACCCCTCTCCCTTGTTGTCAATTTCTGTGCTAACGTCAAGTCCTCCCACATGGAGTTAATTGTTAAAGCTCCATCCTCCATTTCGCTCTACTTCCACTCGCCTCTCCTCGTTCTGGGGCAGGTGGGAGTAGGCCCTGCCGGCTTTAGCTTCCGAGCGCTGTCAGACCGTGCTGCAGCTGCCCCTGAGCGTGCCTGCCGGCGAAGCACTGAAGACATGAGCTGAATCTTGGGTTTGCACGTTTTGACCAGGAGCGGCTCTTTCCCCCTTTTGGTTGTGGATATAAAACCCTCTGAGCCTTTTCGCGTGGGCCCAGAAGAGAGGCTGTTGATCCTGAGAGTGTGTTGATGAAACTCCGTCGCTGGGTGGCTCAAAGACTCAACCCCAATAAACCCAGTTTATCGCAGCCTCCCCTTCAGTATAAGCCACTTAAAACCAACGCAGCTCTGGTATTGCAGATGCATCTGCTGACTGCACAGAGAACAAACCTCCTGCCATGCTGCATATCTACTTATGCACGTGCTGGGCGTGTTACTTTGCGTGGGGGCAGTCCCATGCACAAATCTGATTGATTGTATCTCTTGCGCTCTCTGTATGGAGACTGTTGTTGAACTGTGCAGCTGGGGATCTTAATATCTAGTTTAATGGAGCCTTTGCTGCGATCTTGAAATAGCTGACAGCGAACATTTGAAGCAGTCCTTTGATTCCAGTCACCCCAGGGCAGGGATGGGTCCAGTTTGCTTATGCAGTAAAAACAGGGTGCGTTTAGTAGAGCAAAAATGTCTGTCTCTGCATTCAGCCAAGAGGCCTTATGTATTTGCCAAGGAGGAGAAGTCTTCCTGGCACAAAAGCTACTGGATAGTAAAACAACCGAACTCTGTAATAGTTCAGCAAGGTGGATCTTTCTATGTGGGTGATTTTTGTATTCAATAGTAGCTCATCTCTATATTTTGTAAATAAAAAGGCACCGTGAACATGAGTGTCTCTGGTAAGATCTCATCTTTTTTTTTTTGCTTTTTTTTTGGGGGGGGGGTAATCTGCAGTTCCTGTCTTTCCGCTTAGAGCAGTCAAAACCCGTGCGAAGTGCAGCTTATGTTGTGTTAACCCTTTGTCAACTGCAGAGCTGGGCCTGGGATGTCCTGACTGAAGAGGAACTGTGTCCTCTGAGCAGAACAGAAACACCACCATCACTTGTCTTGAAGTCAGGTCCACTGATCTCTCCAGACTGTGGCATAGAGTGTGCCGTGGGGGAAGGCTGGTCCTTGGCTCAGTCCTGTCTTCTTGCTCTTTAGAGAATCCTTTATTTCCAGGATTCTCCTCACACTCCCCCTATCCCTGCCCTGAATGCAGTAGAGATGGGTGCTAATGCTGAGTGCTTCATGCAAGCAGGTTGCATGTGGCTGTGACCCAGTGAGAGATCTTCTGCACTGGGAGATCCTGGGGTAAAAGGGCTGTTTTGTTTGCCTCCTTCAAACTGGGTGACAGGGAGCTTGGAAAAAAATAGAGATCTAAACCAATCGTGGTTACAATGATGCTGAAGTTACAGGTATACATTAGTAATTCAAATGCATGGTAACCATTCCAGAATGTCAATTTTAAAAATCCTTCAAATGTTAGAAACAGGGCTTTGGAGCTGTGCTCCAGCTCTGCTCCAGCTCCAGGCAAAAACCTGCAGCTCCGCTGCTCCGCACTCCAGCTCCAGGCTCCGCTCCAAAGCCCTGGTTAGAAACCCAGAAAATGCAGAGTTAGGGCTGCACACTCCTCAAATAAGGTGCCTATATCACCTTAACTCTGACCCTTTAGATGCCTCCTCACCATCTTGTTTGAAACCTGGCCTCGCAGTCTGTTCCATTAGATAGGTATGTGTGAATCTGCTGCCTCGTCCCTACAGTAGCCTTTGCTGTTTTCACAGGCACTCTCTGTCGCGATTAGTGCCTGCGAGGCCTGTCTGGAGACATGAAAGCAACTGGGGTGCCATAGGGAATTGCAGCGCTCAATTCTGAGCTGAGCGCCCGGGAGGAGCCTTCAGCCCCTGGCAGGATTGGGCTCTCATGAAAGAGTGGGGAATGGTAACGTAGCAAACGCAGTTTAATAGGGAATGTGTAACGTGAGCGTGCACGTCATGGTCACCCAAAGCGCAATGTGGACAGCAGCCCACAAGCTAAGCAGCTGAGATGAGCACACATCATTTGTGGCATTGACCAAATGAAACTTGTAGCGGGCAGCAAGTTTCTAACTTTCTCTGCAGCTCTGAGCGTGCAGGCTTGCAGTTCTTTACTTGCTGAGGTGCTCACGCCGTGTGGAGGGGCACGAGTGGAAAATCTAGATGCTGGGTGTGGTTTTCTTTGACTTGAAGGTCCCACTACTTCCATCGGGTGTATTTCTGGAATCCCAAGGTCAGTGCACGGAACATGCTCTGTGTGGAGCTGTACGTGCCCTGCAGCCTTAACCAAAAACTATACAGAGGATCCATTTGCTGCCAGAAACCCTATTATGCTTGCACCCTTGTTGCCTCAGCTAACGGGCAGGCGGGGGGGGTGTCGGATGTTCTCTCTGCCCTGAGGAGAGATCTATAAGGAATACCCCTAGGTGCTGGGGATATAGCCAGGAGAGCTATTTAGCTCAGAAGTGAACCATTGTTGCGAAGAGTAGGAGCTGCTGCTCTCACCTGTCATATATGTCTATGCTCCTGCCCCCCTTGTGGCTCCAGGCTGGAAGAGGGGCCTTGCGTCCGGTGCTGTTCTGCTCACCTGAGGTCTCAGTGGAAAGCGAGTGGCCACCAGCAGCCCTGTGTTGTGTGCTGTGACTGTATGTAGATTGAAAGGCAGAGGCCTGCCTGCCAGGCAGAGGGTTGGTGGTTCTGTGGCAGGGGCTGGGTGCGGCTCTAAAACCAACCCACCAGGTGGGAGAGACAGGGAGGCTGGAAACATCCATAAAATGTTTTATTCAAGTAACTGCAAATAGGAAACCAAAAGGTCTTTAACAATGGACCAAAAAACATCCACTTTTTACCAATTGTCAGCCATCTGCCTGCTTTCTCCAGCCACGGCTTACACTCATGTGGTGTCCCCCCCGCCGCCCTGCTGGACAGGTGACTTGAACACCCAGTAAAAACTCTCAATGTAAACCCCAAAACTGCTTTCACCCCTTTGTTCTTCCCCATAGTAATAACCTCCAGCTCCGCTGCAGTTGGTTGTAGCTAAAGGGATGGAGTGTGGTGTGGCGAAGGGATCTCTCAGGTCGTTGGAGGCAGCCGCTCACGCTGTTTACTTTCCTGCTGAGTCTAATCCCCCAGCCTGAGGCATGGAGCATGAAAAGAGTAAGTGGCCTGGTACCTGATGTGGATTAACGAGCGAACAATATCTCGCCCCGGCCCCTCCTTTACCTGCCGCAAGCAGGGGCGCCTTCCTGCGAGCTAAGGCGCTCCATGTTGTTGAGTCACCTCACGAACATCATCCCCTCCAGAGGCAGGTGGGGAAACAGAGGCAGGGGCTGACTCCACCATTATTCAGACCCAGGCCTAGTCCCGCGCCCGACCCAGGCTGCTTCTCTCTCTAGAGAGCAACATCTCCAGTTCAGTGATCTCGAGCCGCCGGGGAATGTTTCCAGGCCACGGCAGTAGAGCACTAATCCCAATGGGGCAGAGGGACAGGGAAGGGTGTTTTCCCCACTGGCAAGCGCTAATGGCTGTTGGGGAATAGGTCATGGTTGCTGCTTTGCCGTTTTCTCTTGTTTTTCTAACGTTGGCTGGAAAGCCCCGGGGAAAGGGTTGACGGGGTGTCTTCACCACACCTCCTTGAAAAATTCTGTCCCTTTCTATAGTAGAATAGCCTAACACTTTTAAATGATCTCCCCCCACCGCTCCCAGCCATCCACCCAGCTTCGGCTCCCGACTGTAAATGAATCATTCCCGGGGGGAGGAATAAAAACCAGAAAGACCATGTTGGAATAATAAATGTTGTAACCAGTACAGCAGCAGTAACAGCAGCAGCATATCTATGGTTAAGAGAATGGAACTTAAATTATCCAGAGGTAGTTGTGAATGGAGGAGGGAAAAAACAAACCAACAAAAATAAACCTTAAAACAAAAAATCCCCTGAAATCTGGCCTGGAAGTACAAGTGTCACTAAAAAGCCCGCGATGCTATTCCTGATGGAGAATTCCACAGAGCTGATGGGAAAGAGAAAGAATCAGCAATGCTGCCTGTGAAAGGCAAATTCCCCTTTAAACAGCAGACACCCCTCTGGGGCTGATCCCACAGTCCTGCAATCAGAGGGCTGCTGCAGCATGACTGAGGGTAGCCGGCCTTATGAGCCTTACACACAGGGTGGGGGGAAGCTGAAGCGAAAAGGCAGCCAATAGTGCCGTGTTATATCTATTGTGTGTTGCGGGGAGTCTCGGTCTTCTGCCGAGAGGGAAGTCTGCTTTTGTAAGTTGGAAGGAGGGATGCAGAAAGCATTAGTGCTTCCGTAATAGAAGAGCAAGGGGTGGCTGGACTTTGTAACTTAAAACAAAAGGACAACTATTCTTGAGCACTGAGTCTTAAAAGTTCTCTCAAGATGGCAGCAGGTCAGTTTTAATCTCTGCCCTAGAGTAATTCAGACAAATCTGGCTGCACCCTGCTTCCAGGCTTGCGATTGTGCACTGGTCACCTGTGGGGGCAGGGGTGGATCGGATTGCCAGCTGGTCCCTATACCATGTGTCTGCTCTGTGTTTCAGCTGTGCCACTCTTCTGACTGCAAGGAGGAGCCTGCTCTATCATGAGCAGGATGCTCTGTAGGCTTGTCTAGGGGTCCTTCAAAATGCACCCGATGGTAATACTTAGCTCTTGCCTAGCACTTTTCATCTGTAGCTCTCCCAGCACTTTACAGAGGCAGTTGGTAACATTATCCCCCTTTTACAGATGGGGAAAACTGAGGCACACAGGTGATGTGACTTGCCGCAGGTCAGCCAGCAGGCCAGTGGCAGAGTCTGGAATAGAACTTGGGTCTCTATAGTCCTATCTCGTGGAATATTCCCCCAGCGGGGCTCTGCGTGCTGGGTGTGATCACACCTCAGTGCCAACAGAACATGCCTTGGTTGAACTGAAACAAACCGTTAACACGTAGCTGCAGCTCAGAGGCCCTCGTGCAGCCAGCCATGGATGCACTACTATTGCCCTACCCCCTAAAGTGATTTTAATACATAGCCCTGCTCTGCTGCTGGGCCCAAAGGAGAAAACTACACAAGTGCTGGTTCCCCTAGGCCAGCACAGAGCTTTGGGGAGCTCAGCCGGAGCTGGATCAGCACAGGAGAGGGAGCTTCCTTCATGCCCTCTCAGTTAGGGGATCCCAGAGCAGGAAGGGCGGCCTCCACCTTTAAATCTTCCCCGCAGGGCCAGCAGCTGAGGAGGGTGGGCTCAAACATCAGCACCAAGGAAAGAGGGGGAAGTGTCAGACGGTTCTGCAGCTGTGTGTGACAAGGGAGTTTGAGATGGGGGAGCGGTGCTCAGCCAGCCCTGTCAGACTAACACTCGCCACTCCCCTTGACAGACCTTGGCTCCCTTCTCAGGGCTGCAGGGAGAAGCTCATATCACCTGCAGCTTTGGGGCAGCTCCTGTGCAAAGTAGAGATGCTGCAGGGAAAAGGGGTGTGTGGGTGGAGGGCTTTAACAGATCTGTCCCCAACTAGTTTAAAAAGAAAACTAAAAATACAGACAGCCATAAGCAGCCCCCTCTCCTCCTTTCCCTACCCTGAAGTGTGTTTGGAAAAAAAAAAAAAATCACAAAACAATAAAGCAACCGTTCTACAGGAGCCTTCCCTCAGTGAATTTCACTAGGAACAAAAGAAACTACATCAGCCAATAGGCTAAATTTTAACCCTGTCCAATAAGAAAGAGAAACAACAGAGCCCGGTTTCCCCCTTCGAGTTAACAGCGTCCGTCAGCGAGCGTGGTGGCCGCTCCGTCGGTTTGATCTGAACCCCAGTGCTGCTGCTGTTTGAGGGTGAGAAAGTTGTGTGGGGGGTGGGGGGCGCGGAGGAGGAAAAAAAAAAAATACACTCCCACCAAGGATTTCTGTTTTGTTTTGGTTCCTTCCTCAGTCCAAGAACTTGACGAGAAATTGGTAAGTTGAACGATGAGGTAGTGCCGGGTTCAAGCGTTTTCACTGCTCCTCTTCGGATGACTCCTGCGAAACGTTCACTTCCTCTTCGTCCTTCTGCTGTAAGAGAAGGGAGGAGTGAGGCAGCACCCGGCCAGCCTGGCTCCAGGTCAGCATAGGAGCATACGCCATGGCGAGTGCTGCACCATTAAAGACACAGCCCTCGTTAGACCTGCCCCTTGACAACTCTGTATGTTTAAAACATTCACACTCAGCGGTCTTTGAGTGGAGCCCTAACCAGATTAAACTTCAAATCAAGCTCCCAAGTACCTCCAGGCCCAGCCAGGCACTTGGAACTGGCTCCGCTCCAAGGCATCAATCCGAGCTAGGATGCCAGGATTCTAGTCCCAGCACTGCCATGGTGACTTTGGGGAAATCACTCCGTCTCTTCGCCCAGGTTTCCATACCTGGGAAATGGGGATAAGGGCACTTGCCCGTCTTGGAGAGCTCCAGATTAAAAAGTGAGTGAGAGACAGAGTCACGTAACCAAGGTAGTCGGCATAATTGGCGATGGTTGGAACTGAACATGGAAGAATCCTGACGCTCAGTGCCCTGCTCTTAGCGTTGGACTATAGCACCTCTGCCAAGGAGACACCCCAACTTCTGTGCCTCCAACGGGCCCCTGTAATGGATTCTGGTTACCGTCCTCAGGGAGAAGCACCTGCGCCGGCTGGTGTTGGCAGGGCCAGTCTCAGGTACTAATGTGGTGGTGGGCGCCCTGGTCCTGAGTAGGTCTTTAGCCTCGGCCATAGCAGAAATACTCAACACTAGTAACTTCCATGGACGTGAACAGCCCAACAAAAAACATATCCAGCGGCTAGATGTAATGCTTCCCAGAGGCCACAAGAGGGGACCGCAGCAGCAGCTGGAATCTCAACATGCCTGTTAAAACCAACCCTACTCTTCCTCCCCTTTCGCAATCGACCTCTGTTCGCCCACTCAGAGAGCAGCACCCTCCCTTGCTCACCCCACCTCCCAAACCTGCAAAGCAGGGAGCACGCGTCAGCACCGCTGGCAGGAACCCCTGGGCCGAGTGCCCCAGCGATGGCATGAAACGGAGCCGGGGAGCTAAGGCATTCCTTGAAATGCACTCTTCCGCCTGGCTCTCTTTAAAGAGACACGCACGCTTGCAAACCAGTCTGAGTCACCCTCACAGTCAGCCCTGAGTCAGCAACCTCCACTTCCGCGCGTTTCATTCATAAAAAAAAAAAAAAAACAAACCCTTGAAGCCGGCATGGAAAGCAGCTGCCAATTCCATACAAAGTTTTCCAGTGACACAGGCCTTCTCACTTAGCGAAGGAAGGAAGGGAGTGATGGGCCCTGGTTAACCCTTCTCCGCTCCTGGGAAGCGGATTGTGGTTAACTAGCATGCCAGGGCAACCCAAAATAGAAAAAGGGGTTTGGCAGCCCCACCTGGAGAGTGAGGAAGCCGGCTAGAAAATCCTGCAGCTGTGCGAAGCCAAGGCCCTGCTCGCAGGCCGAGTTGTTTTCAGTTTAGACATTGCTTTTGCTTGGAGAATTTCAGGTGTAGAGGTAACAGCTCCCCAGGGGAGCCTGCAAAGGAATTTGCAGATTTCAAAGCCAAAGACACTGTAAAAATAATTGGAGGCGAGCTTGGTGGATCACTTGACAATTACCTGTTCTGTTCCTTCCCACTGAAGCACCTGGCATGGAAAACAGGATCCTGGACTAGACGGACCTTTGGTCTGACCCAGTGTGGCCATTCTTATGTTTGTTCTAGAACACTAGTGAGCGAGGGATTATGCAAGTTTCAACGAAGCAGCTTTGGGCTAGACCCCTGCAGTGCCAGACCAGCCCCCCGCTGCTGTTGCCATGGCAAAGCACCCCAATTCCCTCCCTCCACCACACAGGAATGCTGGGGACACTTGTGTCATCTGCATTGTGCAGGAGGTCAAACTAGATCATAACAGTCCCTTGTGGCTTTATGAATGCACCTCAATCTAGATCTGAAGCCCACCCCTTGCCATTCCCATCTCAGGCCTCATTTAGCTAGGGATGATTCCAGAATTTGGCAAGTCAGGCATTTTCCTACCAGACAGGCCTAGAACAAGTATTCCCCTCTTATTATCCAAGCTGGGATTTGAACCTACGTCTTGAAGAGCGAGCGGCCAAGTGCACTGTGCACCATGTACATTGTTATCCCTGGTCTTGAGTTTCCAGACAAACTCCCTTCAAAGCTGCATTTAGGAGCCCCCTCCAAATCTGGTGGCAAGCGGCAGCATCTTGCAGCACTGGTGCAGGATATTGGAAACCAACTATCCAGGCTCCCACCCCTTCTCTGGATGTGGAGTCAGTACAGCCAACCAGCAGCAGGTGAGCATGACACATTTAGCCAGGCTGTTTCTGCCAAGGGCTGAGGTGGGGGGGGGGGGGGGTCCTGCTATGCAATGTGACCCTGACAGTGGCGTAATGCTTAGCTTGAATGGAGTTACACCAGGGAGAAAGTTACGGGGTTTTCAAAGAGAGGTGGTGGCTGGAGACAGCAAAGACTGAAATCCTCAGGGGGCTGGAGGGATGCAGAGGAGCCCGTGGAGCAGTTAGGGGAAGGTGGGAGGAATTCAAGTACTGTTTACAGGGTGCCCCAAATCGCCAGGCTATTCAAGCTGGCTGTAGAAGGGGACCCAGCGGAAGAGGCATGCAGCGCTGCCTTAGCCTGGAGAGAAGAAAGAAAACCACGGCTCTGCAGAGCTTGCCGAGCCAGCAGAGTGCTCCCTAGGGCAGCAGATAGCAGCTTACAGCAGGGGAAGGGTGGGGCTGCTGCAGTAGCTTATCGCTCCTGGGGTGGGGCGGGGTGCTGCTGGGGGAAGCTCAGACTGCCAGGCACTGTGGGAGGGTCTGTTACAGCCAGAGATCCTCAGTGGCTGGGAAAGGGAAGAAAGAGGAGCAACATATGGGGGCAGAGGGAATTTGCTGCACACTCACTCTGCAGGAATGCCACCCTGGTAACACACCACAAAGCCTTGGGCAGGCCTGTGCCAGCTAGCTGAAGAGAACAAGCCACTTCCTGTTAGTCACTCCAGGGAGCAGGGAAAGAACACTGAGCTAATTATAGCCATTTAGAGTGGTCATGGACCACAGAGAGGTGGATTATTACCTACCATATTACAGTTTACCCCCCAGGAACCCTCTGGCAGTGAGACACCCGTCCCCTCGCTGTACCCCTCCGGGCGTCATCCGGCACCAGGATGTGACTGTGTCCCCTCGACCACAGTACACTGCATCACACCCCTAAGGTGTACCACAGTGCTGCTTCCAAGGACATCTGGCACCGATGCAGGACTGCGACCCTTCTGCTAATTCTATGCTGCTGCCCTAGGAACTTGCATCCCCCCTGCTATATTACAGCACAGGTCCCGAGGACCTTCCAGTACCAAGATACAACCTCATGCCCTCTGCTCGGTTAGAGCATGGCCTGTGTTGCTAATGTTCAGCCCAGAGACGCAGCTCCTTGCACCCCAGCCCCTTCCACGCTCGGTTGTGCTGCTGTGGTTGCAAAGTAGTTGAACGAGCATGGGACCACGTTGAACTGCATGATTCCCATGGAAATTCACAATGACAGAAGAGACAGCTCTCAGACCCAGCTTTTGGTGCAAAAGGAGATTTCCATCAGCAGTATAGGGGCTATGGCATGGGGCGCAGTAGTTGACGAGCACAGATACCCATGCAGGCTAGCCAGTGTCAGTACATGCATTAGCCCACCACCAACTGGAAAGCTCCCAAGAACATAGACCAGCTCTTATTACAGTGCAGAAGTGAAGCCATCCATCTGCAGTGTGGAATACCCGGACTGCCATCACCGTGATTCCTCCAGGACACAAGAAGCTCAGATGAGTTTCATGCTACTCCTCTTGATCCCACCCCTCACCACCGAGACTGGCTTCCTCCCTGCAAGAAGCAGGCCTCTTTCCCCACCTTGTATCTGTGCAAGGGCCTGATCCTGTGGGGCTCTGCATGCTCTCAATTCACTGGGAGCAGAGGGGGGCTCCGCACCTGGCAGAATCGGGCCCCAGAGGAGAACGATTAGGAAAGGAAGGTTCCACTTACCGATTTTTTGGGCCGGCCTCGAGGTTTCCTCCCAGGTGTTACTGCAGCTTTCTAAACACAGAGAGAACTTTTAAATCCACAGAGGGGACCGAAGAAACACACGCTCGCCTCCTTCCCTGGACATCTTTGATTTCTATTGTCTTCTAGCTCAGATGTCACGACAACCGTTCCTCTTCCCCCCTTGTCACCTGTCAAACTCATCACATGAGGGGCAGTTCCCAGCCTGCCCTTGGGCTGCTGGACACAAAGATGGCCCCATGGGGCTAGATCCTTTCCCCCCCCCCATCAGAGTTATTTTCCTGCATGCGATGGCCAGGCCCCAGCCCCATGACTCAGAGAAATTTGCAGGATATGAGTCGCGTGTTTTCAAAACAGCTTTAAAACACAAACACACACACATACCACATTCCCTGAACCTTCTGTCGATCTCTCCCCCATCTCTTCCCCCACGGATAAGCATAGTGATGTCTCATACTCTGTCATTTATACATTCTGTCCTCAAAGACTTCCTGGGGAGGCGGGTGGGGGCCTGAAGCTGGTAACCTCATCCCCCTCACTAACACACACACGCGACCCCAGGAGAACGAGCACGCTGCTGCTGGGTCACTGCTGCCACAGATTCCTCCCTACGCATCACCCTAGCTATAAGACTTGATCCTTCTATGAGGCAAGGATCTCAAAGCACTCCTCCCGCCAGTCCTGTGTGATGGGTATCCTTATTCCCATCTTACAGTTGGGCAAACTGAGGCACAGGAGAAAGTGACTTGTCCAAGGTCCCCCACAGCAGGAATAGAACCCAGGCATCCCAACTCTCGCCTCCCCCTTCCAATTTAACCTTCCCATTTACTGGGGGAAAATATCCCTCTGGAACTGCTCCCCTCTTAAACTCCTTCCCTGTTGGGGCTGAGATCCAGGGGGCGCGGGCACAGCAATGGCCGGAGCAAGCACATGACTGGAAACGGCTGCGGAGTCTGGATCTGGAGGAATGTGCTCAGAAATGAGCCTCCTTCTATCCTCTGCCCCACACAATTCCTTTGGGGCCCGTCCACCGTTTGCAGCTGGCTAGAATAATGGTGGGATGCTCAAGGCTGCCGTTAAACAGAAGATGGGGTGTGAACCCTCCCCTCGTCCATCTGATCGCAGCCCAGAGTCTATGGTAAGACATTTCCCTGCTCCACCCCCACTTTCCTCCCTGGAGAAAGGCCTGGGGCCCCATGCAGCAGGGAGACCTCCTTTCCCTGCCCAGCCTCGGGCACGCAAACCCCAGCTGCCTCGATGCTGCACACGAAGCCAATGCTCATGCCAACACCGACAAACAAATGTCACCAGCTGTCCCAGTTGGATGCAACCGGCTTCGTGTGACGGGGAAGGCCACCTAGGACTCTCCAGAGGGGCAGGAGGTTCCTCCCTGCAAAACTCTGGGTGCCCATCTGTCTGGTCCAAACCCTGTCTGTCTGCACAGCTGGGGTAGAAATTTCATCACTGAGCCCACTGCATGCATGTGTGCGTGTGGGAAGTTCTGTTACCTCCTGCTTCCCAGAACAGAAATCCTGTGGATGCTACACTTTGGCCCCCAAGAAATCCAAGGGAGAGGGACATCTTGTGACCAGACACCCTCAGGCTCCCAGTGCCCAAATGCCAAGAAGTCGCTTCAATCTTAAATGGCCATTAAGAAGCAGTGGATGGGGAAGGTCATGTGGTTTCCCCTGCCTCCACCCCCATACCTACCCTGCCTTTAGAAGTGGCCTTGTTTTTGCTCCCCTTTGGTCTGCCACGTGGTCTCTTGGGGGTTGGTGCCTCGCTGGGTTCCTGCTGGAGACAAAGGACAGGACTTGTCAGCAGACACCCAGATCTGCAGTGATCAGCGCCGAGGGGCAGGGCTGGGGCAAGCATAGTCTGTTCACAGCCCACTTGCCCATCCAAGTGGGATCCCACTGCACCTAAGAGCAGGAAGGAATCCCAGCAAAACAAAATAAACGGGAGTCCCGGCATTAGAGGAGCATGTATGCCACTGGGCCTCTGTTATAGAAATGCCCACAGCACGGCACTGCACCCACCCCCTCAATCTTAATACACAGATGCCAACCAAAACACCTGGCTAGTGTTTGCACTGCAGCAGAGGCAGATCAAGGGGGAACAATGCATGCTGGGACCTGTAGTTTCCAAGGGCCGTGGGAATTCAAAGTGAAGAGATGGCCACAGTGGGCCTGCACTTCGACTTGCTCTGCTTTCAGGTGACACACTCTGCTGTGGACAGAACGCACCTGTCACGCTGCGCACAGGAGGGACGTGGGACAGAGCAGACGGGGGCTACCTGGACTTCGATGGAACAGGCCATTGGTGAGGGGGGGAGGAAAGGCATGAACCTGCCGAGAAGAGGCTGCTTTTCCTCCCAGATTTGGAGACGTAAGAGAGAACGCCATGGGGCTGATTTCTGGAGCGGGTGCTGGGATATCTCCCTTGAAAAATTAAAACTGTTAACCCCAGAGCCCATCGCCCAAGAAAGAGCACCCTGAAATTTTAACACCTGGGAGACTCATATGAAAAACAATCTAATGCACAGTTCACAATTCTGGTGTCACCGCTACAGTTTCTAATACCCAGGCACTTTCCGTTTATAGCTGCAGCTATTAGCGAACCAGTAATCCAACACCCGCAGCCCTGCCCCCACCTCCACCGAGTGACTGCCTCCCCCCACCAATCCGAGCCCTGCGAGGGAGATATTCCACCAACCGGAAGAGGAAGGAGCTGGGATCAGCTGGCTCAGGGCAGTTAAAAGACTGATACCAAGGGCCAGTTGCTGATCTTGGTTAGGCTGGTGTCAATGTGGAGAAACTGCAATGGCAGACAGCAGAGTTAAAAACTCTGGGCTTCCAAATGAGATGTACTCACAATTTCCTGTGCTTCCCTGGGTTTATGGTTAAGGTAATACTGCAACAACAAAGGGATCAGAGGAATGACACTCTCCAGGGGTTAGAACAGTAAATGGGAATTGGGACACCTGGATTCCCTTCCTAGCTTTGCCACTGACTTTCCGTATGCCCTTTGGTTGCCCCAATAACATGCCTGCTTAGCAAAATGCTTCCGGAGCCTCATCTGCACAAGCCACTAGACCATCCTCAGCTGAGCCCAACTGGTCCTAAAGTTTGAGGGGATTATTGGTGGCTAGTTACCTCCTGCAGTTCCTGGTGACAGGCAGGGGAATTCTCCCTTCCCTGCAGGTTTAGCCAGTCACGTTTCAGGTTCTGCCATAGGAGTTATAACTAGTTGGCTAACTAATCATGTTGGCTGCATGGCAGAGAGCAGAGAAATCAAAGAGTTCGTGCCAGGGCCTTACATGAGAGAAACTTACACAAACAAAATTCCCACTGGCTCAGCAGGACTGATTAGTTAATCAGCATTAGTTAAACCTGCTGAAAAAGCAGGTTTCATTAACTACCATGATCATAAAACTTGGTTCAGCTGCAGAAGTCTTGTCTATAGTATGACTCCCCTCAGTTCAGCTAGGTGGGTTTTTTTTTTTTTTGGTAAGTTTCCCTACTGTAGCTAAAGCCTCTAAGGTCATCTTGTTGCCATAGTCTTTACTTAGCTGGAGTCTCCTGAGGACCTTTGGGCACAGCAAGGAGAGGAACATTATGCTTTTGTAACTCCAAGGGACTCAAAAACCGTACACCTACAGAAATGCAGCCGCCACCACTGGGGCAGAGGAGAGCAGCTGAGAGGGAGGAAATTTTGGCAGAGAACATATCCTGCCAAACTTTACTCCAGGGGGTCTCTGCTGTCCACATGTAGCAAAGAGAGTCAGGGGTTATAAGTCTGTATCGAGGAGACAAGTTATGCATGTGTTCAATTCCATGGTGGTGAGCCCAATGTATAGAAATGGGATGTATAACATGATTCCCAATGCCAGTAAGTACCTTCCCTGGAGCCCCGTTTGTTTTGTTGTGTTCATCCCTAGGGTAAATGTTACTTTTCACTGAAAGTTCCTGCTGCCTTTTCGCCTTGCCTTGCCTCTTAAGTCCTTCTGGAGAGGGCCATTTGGCCCCAGCTTGGAAGCCAGAATTTAATCTTACCCAGCAATAGAAGCTATTTCTTTGCCCCATGCTAGATCTTGGGATGAAATCTCGATAAGTATCGATTCAACCCTCTCTGATGTTGAGAATAGCCTCATTTTGTGGCTCACAAATTAAGAAACTTGCCCAAGGCTGCCACACGTTGTAAGCAGTGGCGGAGTTGAGGAGAGAACCCAGGAGCCCTGACTCCCAGTCCTTGGCTGTAACCACCAGAGCATGCTAGATGGGTGATGCCTCCCAGGTGGCAAGTCAGTCATGGAGATGCCTCATTTTTTCCTTTCTTCCCCACAGACCTCCCGTCTGCACGCCTTGTAGAGCCCCTCTCTAAGAGCATGGAAGAAAGCAATTCTTCATACCTGAGGCTTCTTCCTGGGTCGTCCCCGCCCTCTCTTCTCAGACACGTCCTCCTCCTGTTTGGAAGCCAAGGGCTGGCTGGATTTTGCACTAGATTCACTCATCGTCTTTCTTCCAGAGGACAAAAGAAAAGAAGAAGAAAGGGTAAGTACAGAACACGTGTCTAGATGACCCCTGTTCTATAGGCCACAATCACCCCCATGATACTGATGGGGAAACAGGGGCACAAAGAAGGGAAGGGTCATGTGCATGGTTGATTTGGTTGGTGTTGGTCCTGCTTTGAGCAGGGGACTGGACTAGATGATCTCCTGAAGTCTCTTTCAACCCTAATAGTCTATGATGCTATGTTTCAGAGTAGCAGCCGTGTTAGTCTGTATTCGCAAAAAGAAAAGGAGTACTTGTGGCACCTTAGAGACTAACCAATTTATCTGAGCAGAAGTGAGCTGTAGCTCACGAAAACTTATGCTCAAATAAATTGGTTAGTCTCTAAGGTGCCACAAGTACTCCTTTTCTTTTTATGATGCTATGGTGTCCAAGGAAAAGCCACCCAGGTCCTGGCAGTCAGAATTACAAACTGGGGGTCACTGGTCAGTCCCATGGCATCTGCCATGTCCCATCAGAATCTTGCACTCCCCCGCCCCCTGCACCAGTTCTCACTCTTCTTTCCCCACAATGACCTGTGTTGGATCTGTCAGCAATAAGTTTATTGGGGAGCAGCAAAGCAAGGAATCTTGGTGGTTCCTTCAGAACATGAAGGTTTTTGTGCCTCGCCCTTTGCGCGCCTCTCTGCAAGTACCCAAAATCAGAGGCCCCTTTTGAAAGTCTGGGCCCCCTCTGTTGCAAGTAGTTGTCCACACACCCCAGGGTGGGGTGGAATGGCAGGGGTGTCAGGAGTGCTCCGTGAAGGAGGGAGTGAATCATATACAGTCTCCTCCTGCTATGCCTAGTGCTAACCAGCAACCCTTTGTTGCATGCACCCTCTAGTTATTTACACAGGTAGAGGAGTGTAAATGCACACTCGGACAGAACTACGTGGAAAAGCCTCAAGAGCAAGATGCATGAAAGCTATGGAATAGTCTCCCCATGGAAAGTGGTGGGAACCCCATTGCTTAGGGCACAGAGTACCACACCAGGGAATAATCCTGCCTTGATGGGGAGATGGTCTAGGTAGGACCTCAAAGGACTTTTCCAGCTACCAATTCTATCTTTCAGGCTGATCCTCTTCTGATAGGGTTTTTAACCCATGCTCTGTGCAGTGCTTCCCCTTCTTGTCTTGGGAACACTTCCCTAAGGTTGCTGGAGAAGATATTCCAGTTGGCATTTATGCTTCTGTTTATATTGCTGAACTCAGGACCCCCCTGTCCTAGGTGTTGTACATATGAAATAGTAAGAGAAAGTCCCTGCCCTGAATTGCTTACAGCTTAAGACAAGACAGAGAAAAGACGGATTATTTATCCCTGCTCTGCAGATGGGCAATTGAGGTATAGAGAAAGGAAGAAACTTGCCCTGGGTTGCGCATGAGTAGTCATGGTTCAAATCTTATAAATCCCAGCCCAGTGCATTAGTTATAAGACCCGCCTTTAACGCCGCTGTATCTCATGCTGATCCCAACAATACCCCACCCCAAATGTGGGCAGGATCCACACCTTGGCCTAGTTAGAGTGCCTGGCTCTTCTGATGCTATTCCACAGCTCTGTACTGTCCCTCTCAAAGTCACAAGCAGATCTTAAGGCATACAGAGCAAAATGCATCCTGCACTAGCCGTGCTCACATCCTGCCAGGCTGAGAAATGGATGGAAAGGGGGAGTACGTTCCAACCTGACACAGATTCATAGATACTAAGGTCAGAAGGGACCATTATGATCATCTAGTCTGACCTCCTGCACAATGCAGACCACAGAATTTCACCCACCCACCCCTGTGAAAAACCTCTCACCTATGTCTGAGCTATTGAAGTCCTCAAATCGTGGTTTAAAAACTTCAAGGAGCAGAGAATCCTCCAGCAAGTGACCTGTGCCCCATGCTACAGAGGAAGGCGAAAAACCTCCAGGGCCTCTTCCAATCTGCCCTGGAGGAAAATTCCTTCCCGACCCCAAATATGGCAATCAGCTAAACCCTGAGCATATGGGCAAGATTCACCAGCCAGATACTACAGAAAATTCTTTCCTGGGTAACTCAGATCCCACCCCATCTAATATCCCATCACAGGCCATTGGGCCTATTTACCATGAATATTTAATTACCAAAACCATGTTATCCCATCATACCATCTCCTCCATAAACTTATCAAGTTTAATCTTAAAGCCAGATAGATCTTTTGCCCCCACTGCTTCCCTTGGAAGGCTATTCCAAAACTTCATTCCTCTGATGGTTAGAAAACTTCGTCTAATTTCAAGTCTCAACTTCCCGGTGGCCAGTTTATATCCATTTGTTCTTGTGTCCACACTGGTACTGAGCTTAAATAATTCCTCTCCCTCTCTGAGGAACAGCCGTGTTAGTCTGTATTCGCAAAAAAGAAAAGGAGTACTTGTGGCACCTTAGAGACTAACCAATTTATTTGAGCATGAGCTTTCGTGAGCCACAGCTCACTTCATCAGATGAATGAATCTTCATCAGATGAATCACTGATGAAGTGAGCTGTGGCTCACGAAAGCTCATGCTCAAATAAATTGGTTAGTCTCTAAGGTGCCACAAGTACTCCTTTTCTCCCTCTCTGGTATTTATCCCTCGGATATATTTATAGAGAGCAATCATATCTCCCCTCAACCTTCTTTTAGTTAAGGAGCTTGGCTTGTTTAGCCTGAGTCTCCATTCATAAGACAGGTTTTCCATTCCTCGTATCATCCTAGTAGCCCTTCTCTGTACCTGTTCCAGTTTGAATTTATCCTTCTTAAACATGGGAGACCAGAACTGCACACAGTATTCCAGGTGAGGTCTCACCAGTGCCTTGTATAACGGTACTAAAACCTCCTTATCCCTACTGGAAATACCTCTCCTGATGCATTCCCAAGACTGCATTAGTTTTTTTCACAGCCATATCACATTGGCGGCTCACAGTCATCCTGTGATCAACCAATACTCCAAGGCCCTTCTCCTCCTCTGTTACTTCTAATTGATGCGTCCCCAGCTTATAACTAAAATTCTTGTCATTAATCCCTAAATGCATGCATGACCTTACACTTCTCACTATTAAATTTCATCCTATTACTATTACTCCAGTTTACAAGGTCATCCAGATCCTCCTGTATGATATCCCTGTCCTTCTCTAAATTGGCAATACCTCCCAGCTTTGTATCATTTGCAAACTTTATTAGCACACTCCCACTTTTTGTGCTGAGGTCAGTAATAAAAAGATTAAATAAGACTGGTCCCAAAACTGATCCTTGAGGAACTCCGCTGGTAACTTCCCTCCAGCCTGACAGTTCACCTTTCAGTAGGACCCGTTGTAGTCTCCCCTTTAACCAATTCCTTATTCACCTTTCAATTTTCATATTGATCCCCATCTTTTCCAGTTTAACTAATAATTCCCCATGTGGCACGGTATCAAACGCCTTACTGAAATCTAAGTAAATTAGATCCACTGAGTTTCCTTTGTCTAAAAAATCTGTTACTTTCTCGAAGAAGAAGATCAGGTTGGTTTGGCATGATCTACCTTTTGTAATACCATGTTGTATTTGTCCCATTTACCACTGACCTCAATGTCCTTAACTACCTTCTCCTTCAAAACTTTTCCCAAGACCTTGCATACTACAGATGTCAAACTAACAGGCCTATGGTCACCCAGATCACTTTTTTTCCCTTTCTTAAAAATAGGAACTATGTTAGCAATTCTCCAGTCATATGGTACAAACCCTGAGTTTACAGATTCATTATAAATTATTGCTAATGGGCTTGCAATTTCATGTGCCAATTCCTTTAATATTCTTGGATGAAGATTATCTGGGCCCCCTGATTTAGTCCCATTAAGCTGTTTGAGTTTCGCTTCTACCTCAGATATGGTAATATCTGCCTCCATAGCCTCATTCCCATTTGTCATGCTACCATTATCTCTAAGATCCTCTTTAGCCTTATTAAAGACTGAGGCAAAATATTTATTTAGATATTGGGCCATGCCTAGATTATGGTGCTAGGTGCTGTACGGAGACCGTCCCTGCCCCCAAAATATTTAGTCTGAATTAATTCCCTGCAGCATTGGAGCCAAACTGTATCCTCTGTGGAAGAGCCAGGGGTGGAGGGTGGGAGGGAGAAGTGGTGCAAAGGTCACCTTGGGGCCACTGTTAAAGCCAGTCAGAAGGAAGTGCCCTGGGCAGCCCCAGCTGGCTCCCCTGCTTAGGCCTAGGCTCTTCGCCTCCAGCTGCTGCTCCCAGCACTGGGGGTGGAGCTGGGGTTCCCTTGCACCCTGCCCTCCACAGCCGCTGCTATCCCTTCCCCGAGCCGTGCAGTGCCCTGCACACTTACTGCACGCACCAGGGACTCCCTGCAACTCCAAATTCTCTGTGTGCCCCCAACCACGCTCAACAAAAGAAGTCCATTTTTCTAGCAGTTAAGCCACTAGTCACCAGTGCTCAGAATAATGTCTAACACTTCCCTCCCTCCAAGTCAGCAGCGACTAGAATGGGTCCAATTCCAAAAGGATCATCAGCAGTCAGGAAACAAAACCCACCCCCAGCAAAATGCCTTTGAGCTCACTAAAACAAGTGACACCAGCATCTAAATTAGTTTGTCTAAATAAATCTGTGGCAGAGCAGTTGGCAAACGCATCCCCAACTGATCACAAGGGAAGCCTTAACATAGTCTACACTAGACCATCTAGAGTTAATGGATTCCCATCCAACTCGAGGTAGCTAACACTTTGGTAAAGGTTAATCCGGATACTTTAGCATAGTAACAAAGTTTCAAGGACCCTTCTCCCATCTATAAAAAAAGAGGGTGTCTGCAACCCCCTGAAACCTGTTCACAACCCCCCAGTGGAGAACCCATGTCCTAGGAAAACAGGTGCTTAATGATATTGGTTGTCAGCAACTGGATCCCATTCAACTGACTTTGCAAGTTGCGTTCAGAGAGGACAAAGCTCTTTCCAACACCGTTGCCTGCCTACGTCAAGCAATGGTCAGTCCCATCTACACTCCCAGCTGTAGCAACCGAACAGGGTCCCCATTGCAGACAACTGCCCCCCGCAACGGGTGGTTTGCTCAAATTCCACACCAACAGTTATTGTCCTCGGTGATGGGCATGTAGCCGTCCTCGGCAGGGCTTCGCTGGGAAGTTCAGATTTCTAAACAAGTTGCATAGTGGGATGAAAGCCCAAGGAAACCCCACACACGCATCCTGAATGCACAGACCTTCTAGGTTTTTAAAACAGTACATATGGGCTCATGTTCAGCTGTGGAAGTGACTCACAAGTAAGTAAACCTCAGAAGCCACAGCCTCATGTAAACACCCCTATGTATTACTCACTACAAGGATTCTCTCCCTCAGAAATATGGTCCCAATGTTTTTGGGTTGGGTTTGTTTTTAAGTAAAATTCTTGGCTACTTGGGTATCCAGTTAAGAAGTCAGGACGCTTGTCAGATGTGATACATCCTCCGAGCACCCCCTTCCATCTCTGACAACGTGGGCATGCAGGCATGGGGAGCGCTGGACCCACAACATATGCAGACTCTTCAGGGACCTGCATGGGGCAGGGCTCAGCCCTGTGGCAAACAGCCTACAGTGCTAACTCAGGGTTCCTGGTCCCCATTATGACCCCGTAGCGAGGTTTTTGGTGGAGCTGTGTTGCCATGGAGGGAAAGAGAGCCAAGAAGTAGCTTAGAGACACAAACCTCTCAGTAGATGGCCCTCGCCTCCAATGGACTCCTTCAAGAGCTGCACGAACCCATGAGGAAGAGATTTGCAGGTCCTCTAGGCTGAGCCCCCGGCCAGTTTTTGCAGGGGCCCTAACAGGCAACCTCACTGCAGGATTAGGCTGCACTGGGAAATGGCCCTATACCTGTGTTGGGATGGGATAGGTCTCCTCCCTGTCTAAGACAGAGTCTACGCTACAGCCATGCCACTGTAGTGACGTAGCATAGACGTGTCCTGTGTCGACGGAAGACTTTTTCCCGTCCGCATAGTTCATCCACCTCCCCAAAAGGCAGTAGCTAGGTTGAGGAACGAATCCTTCCGTCTACGTCCGCACCCGCAACAGGGATTAGGTTAACCTAACTACATACAGTGTTCTGAGCACACAGGTTTTCACAGCCCTGAGTGAAAGAGGTCGACCTAAGTTTTTAGGTGCAGACCAGGCCTTAAGCTTATGAAGAGAAGACTTCAGTGGTGTGGGAGGATCTAGTCAGGTCACATGGTTGTCTCTCTGCTCTCTGGCCTAAACCTCAGCAGCCAGGGGAGCAGGAAGTTAAAACATAGCAGAGAGACACAACTGGCTGGCATCTGAGGAAGGGACATGGCATTTATAAGACTAAAGGTCCATCTAGCCCCATATCCTGTCTTCCGACAGTAGCCAATGCCCGGTGCCCCAGAGGGAATGAACAGAACAGGTAATCATCAGGTGATTGCCCCTGTTGCCCACTCTCAGCCTCTGGCAAACAGAGGCTAAGGACACTGTGCCCTGCCCATTCTGGCTAATAGCCTTGATGGCCTTTTCCTCCATGAACTTATCTAGTTCTTTTTTGAACCCTATTATAATCTTGTCCTTCACAACATCCTCTGGCAAGGAGTTCCACAGGTTGACTGTGCATTGTATGAAAAGATACTTCCTTTTGTTTTAAACCTGCTGCCTATTAATTTCATTGGGTGGCCCCTAGTTCTTGTTTCGTGTTATGAAAAGGAGTAAATAACACTTCCTTATTTACTTTCTCTGCACCAGTCATGATTTTATAGCTCTCTATCATATCCCTCCTTAGTCGTCTCTTTTCCAAGCTGACAAGTCCAGTTTTATTAATCTCTCCTCATTTGGAAGCTGTTCCATATCCTTAATCTTTGCTTCTCTCCCCAATCTCCACACCTGGGACTGATTTCACAGCTCCTTTGCACCAGACAGGAGCCCTGCCAATCCAAGCCCTAGTCACCACCTCGCAACTGAACAACAAAAGAAAAGCAATACGCACAGGAAACAGTCTCTTCACGCCCAAGAAGTCCTCTCAAAGCAGTCTCACAGGGACACCACCCAGAAGGCAGAGCAGGGCAGTCCCAACAGCAAGGGGATAAAATAAATAAAAACCGGTTTTATTGATGAGCCCAGGAGGGACTCAGGACAAAAGGCGCATGCAATTCCCTATTAACTTAACTAACATTCCAAAGCTCTGCTTTGAAGACCCCCGCTCTATTGGAGCGGCCATCCTTTACAACAGGGGTTCTCAAACTTTTGTAGTGCTGACCCCTTTCACACAGGTTTCAGAGTAGCAGCCGTGTTAGTCTGTATTTGCAAAAAGAAAAGGAGTACTTGTGGCACCATAGAGACTAGCCAATTTATTTGAGCATAAGCTTTCGAGAGGTACCGCTCACTTCACACAGCAAGCCTCTGAGTGCGACCCCCCCTTATAAATTAAAAACACTTTTTAAAAATATTTAACACTATTATAAAATGCTGGAGGTGAAGCGGGGTTTGGGGAGGAGGCTGACCGCTCATGACCCCCAGTTTGAGAACCCCTGCTTTAAAATAAACATGATAAAGGCGGGCAATGAAGGGGGACAGGAAGAGACAAGACCATAAGCCCTTTGAAGATCTCTGTCCTAGAGGTTATAATCAAAACCACCCTCAGCAAGAATGGCTCGATTTCAGGAGTATGGTGTAGACCCCTCCTCGAGAGGAAGGAGGGGGAGTGGAAAGAAACCTTGTGAGGTTTACAGTGGGGAAAGCCCCCATCCCATCACTACACCTAAATGGGACTGAAGGAAAGATCAACAGATCTCTTCGTCTCTGGACCTATAATGAAACCAAGCCCCCCAGCTGGAAGGGAAGTCTGGGAGCCAGGTAGAGCCCACAGCTGCTGGAACTGGGGGTGTTGCTGCTGCACCCTGTGGCCTGATAGCTCAGTGGTTTGAGCATTGGCCTGTTAAACTCAGGGTTGTGAGTTCAATCCTTGAGGGGGCCATTTAGGGATCTGGGGCAAAAACTGGGGATTGGTCCTGCTCTGAGCAGGGGGTTGGCCTAGATGACCTCCTGAGGTCCCTTCCAACCCTGATAGTCTATGATCCTATGAAGTGGATTCTATCAGACAGGGTTTACAGCCTGGTTCAATAGCTCTCAGCACCCCAACTATACAAATTGTTCCTGCAGCCCTGGTAGAGACCCCCCCCCCCGCAACAAAAGCGCCTCTATGGGGAGAGACACACTTTAGAGAGCAGGCAGGGAGAAGTTATTTCCCACCGAACAAGCCACCCCCCCGCCCCCGCCAGATGGGGGAATCAAAGAGCCCCAGCCCCGCAGAAATAAAAAGTACCCCCTTGCCCTATGATCCACCCACCGCAGCATGTTGGGAACACTGCACCCCCAGACCACAAGCAGGCAAGCGAGACCCCTCTCCCTAACGAGCACCCCAGAGCCCAAGGAAAGCGCCCACCGCCCGCCCCCCGGCACCCCCAAAACACAGCAGTGGGTTACCACAGGCTCTTCTTGGTTGGCGAGGGGGAGCCATGGCTCTGGGAATCGGCCCCTTTAAAGGGCCAGGAGGAGGAGGAGGAGGAGGAGGGGTTTCTTGCGAGCCCAATGCGCTACCTGCTCTCTGCAAAATAAATGGGGAAAGAACGAACTCCCCCCTCCCCCCCCCCCGCTCCGCCTGGCTATTGGCAGAAATGCCGTGCAAAAAAAATACCAAGCCGTGGAGGAAAGTGCTGTCGCGCGATTTGAAAATGAAACCGGCTCGGAGTGTGCGTATTTGCAAAGCTCGCCAGGGCCGGGGCAGGAGCAGATCACCCGAGCCCGGCAGGAGCGAGCTCCGCCAGCAACCCGGAGGCGACTGCGAGCTCCCTGCCAGGGCACCCCCCCGTCGCGGCTGCTGTTTCTCCTCCTCCTCCTCCCCAGCGCTCAGTTGCTGTCTCCGGCGGGGCTTTTCCATCCCTCCGCTCGGAGACCTGCTGAAGAAAGAGCCGTCCCCTCCCCCTCCCCAATCAGGTGCTTTAATGATAATAATAAAAAATAAAGAAGGGGGGGGGGGGAGGTAGCATTGCAGATTCTGCCCACCCCAAACCCAGGAAAAGCCCTCCCCACTCCCATTCTTGCAATGCATGATGAGAATAAAAGCAAAGGGCATATTTATTCCGCATGCCTTGTTGGCTTCTCTCTGCAAATTCTAAAAACCAGGCTTCATTATTATTATTTGCAATTTGCAAATGATTTTTTGGCCCTCCCCCCCAACCGTGCCCATTCGACTACAAAATAATCAACAAAATAAACAAAACACCAACTTACTAACACCCCCCACCACCTCCACCCAAAACAAAACGAAAAAAAAAAAAAAAAAAAAAAGGCCAGACACTCACAATTGCTCCTGATCTCGGATCTGTGTGGGGTGTGTGTGTGTGTGTGTTTTTTTTTCCTTGTGTGTCTGTGTTGTGATCAAATTAAACCAAAACCCCCCTTCTGGCTGCTGCTGATTGCAAATGCGGATCTGAAACAAGAAGGCAGGCAAGGAGAGACTCACTCACACACATATACAGACCAGCCAGGGCGCTCTTATTTATATAAATAAAAAAATTGTTCCAAGAGGAAGGAAGCTGGGTCAAAATCATTTGCACGGGGAGGGGAGGGGGGGCAGAGAGGGGGAAATAGGAAAGGGACCAAAAAAAAAAAACCCAAGAAAACACCCCTCCAAGCCTTGCTGGAGGGAATCCAGCTGCTAAAAATAGCAAAATCACACTCCAAATTAAATAAGGGCAGGCAGGCTAAGCTAAAGGGAGCTTTAAGCCCTTCCAGTTGAGGAGGGGTGGAGCCCAGCAGAGGCTACGCTACGCCATCACCAGTGGGTGGGGAAGATGCAAAGAAGGGGAAGGGAAGGGTGATTTAAAAGGGCTGCTGCGGTTAAAGCCAATGTTGGAAGGTGGGTGGAAAGTGGGTAAGAGTAAAAAACCAGCAGAAGCAAAAAAAGCAGCAAGATTCGCCTCCCAATCCCCCCTCCTTAACAAAACAAACCTGGTCAGATGGAGGAGACAAGAAGAGAACTATTTTTCAGAGCTGTCATTTAGACATATAAATATTAAAAGCGGGTAGAAACCCCCCCCCATTGTTCTTTTGTTTAAAGGAGAAATGATTCCTGTGTAGTTGGGCCTCCTGCTGGGGGAAAGGTAGCGTGGGAACCTTGTAGTTCTGAGAGCGAGGTGCTGTTTATTATTTTGTAGAGAGATGCTCTCAGGTAGCTTTGAGCCCCCCCCCCGTTTTTAAAACACATTGCCTTTTTTTTAAATATACAAAATCACTTTGATCGTAAGCTAGGGCAGGACCTGGTTTTGTTCCTGGTCCTTGATTGGTGGTCCTAGGCTCTGCTGTAACAGAAATAATAAATAATTATGAAAGGGATACAGTCAACGTCAACCTGATGGGGATGTGAATATGTTCTCTTACTGCAGTGGAGTGCAGTTACTCCTGATCTGCAACAGTGTGCGTGAACGAAGAATCAGGGCAATATAGTGTAATGTAGGGAACTTTTTCACAGCATGGGTTGCATAGTCATAGATTGTCTTGTGACCATCTTCCCTCCTATTTGTTTCAGAGTAGCAGCAATATAGTGTAATGTAGGGAACTTTTTCACAGCATGGGTTGCATAGTCATAGATTGTCTTGTGACCATCTTCCCTCCTATTTGTTTCAGAGTAGCAGCCGTGCTAGTCTGTAGTTGCAAAAACAAAAGGAGTACTTGTGGCACCTTAGAGACTAACCAATTTATTGTGATTGTTCAGGCCCACCTCTGGCCCACGTTTGCCATTGTAAGACATCCTTGTAGTAGCTACAGCAATTGCTTATGTGGAAAAGTAACAGTAGGAATGTATTTAACGTATTTTTAGCTTATTTTAATGTGATTTAACTGCTGGAAATAATGAAAAGCCAGCGCCGTGTGACCAGCCCCGGACCATCAGCCACACACACCCTTTTTTTCAGAACCATTGTTGTAAACAACACCCATTTCTTTACCTAGGTTATTATAGCATCAATCTATTAAAAGTGAAACAGAATTTTTAAAATCCAATTCACTTGTCCCTCTTTATGGTCTTTGTTTGTTTTGCATTTCTCCCAGCTTGGATAACGAAAATGAATCAGCTTCTCTTTTTCTGAGGGTCATTTTCCCATCCAGGCTTTTCCTCCATCTTTGGTTTTCAAACTCTGCAGTTAGTTTAAAGTTGTTTCGTTGTCTTATTCATTTGAAATGGCAGAAATATTTCTGACAGCCAAAGTTTTCAAATCTGCATGCTTAAAGTTAAGTTCCTAAATAAAGATTTAGGAACCTAAATCAAAGTAGCTGGATTTTCACATGTGCTAAGTAGCTGTAGCTCTCACGAGGTC